AATTGCACACACACACACACACACACACACACACACACACACGTACACACGCACGCACGCACACCGGACAGTACGAGACGACGGCTCGAGGTCAAACTGGCCGAGCCATTGATTGAAGGAGGGGGGTTGCCCTCGGTACGATAGCCTCGCACACAACGCCGTTCCACGTCACCGATACGATCAACACCGACAATGGCCCCCGGTGAAGAGCAGCAGCAGCAGCAGCGAACCCGTGATGCTTCCTCCCGAGGATATTCAGTAGCCGCCGACATTCCCAACATGTCCGCCGACTCGACAACGGTTGTGGTACCCGCACCCGCACCCGCACCCGCACCCGCACCTGCAGGCTCCGAGACATCCAAGACAGACGCCCACCATGACTCCATGGTGACTGTCAGGCTTTCCGAGCCACTGACTATGTCCATCGACACCCCCGACAGTCCCACGTCGTGTGACGGGCCCCTTCTAGCTGGTGCCGCCGCCATCATTGCTGTTCCTGGGTCAGATGCCTCCGACGACGGCAGCAGCAACAATGATCAGGAGGTGGAGGAGCAGAAGCAGCCGCAGCTTGTCAGGGAAGACGATACCGCTTCCGCGCTGGCTGCCAAGACCAGGACCTCGGCCACGTCAACCGTCGCACCCGGTACGAGCCGCACACTGCAAGACGAGCTGCACGACAGGGAAGACGAGAGCGATGATGACGACGTGAACGGAGATGAGGACGACGACGCAGAAGAAGTGAATTGGGAAAAGTTGGAACAGACGGAAGACGCGCAGACCAAGGACGACGATACGGACGATGTGGGTTCCTTCATGACAATCCTCAGGCCGATATGCTGGCCCCCCCGCCCCTCCCCCCCTTATTGTGAGACAAGACAAGATGAGGTATGCTGACCCACAAGCCATATCGTTGTAGTCCACGACCCTTCTTCTCCAGCGGCTGGAGCAGGAGAATGCAAAGCTAGCACACAATCCCAAGACGGCCAGGGTAAGAGCCGCCGAACAGCAAGCCGCCGCCGCCGCAGCAGCAGCTAGAGCAGCAAAGACGGCCTCGTCATCGACAACGTCGACGGTATCGAAGCCACGGATCCCCTCCATGGCCCAGCTACGGCAGATGGTCCGCGGACCCGCGCCGCCCAATCTGCGGTACTCGATGATCCCGCCGCCGCCCATGACCGACCTCGAGTTCTGGGGTGCTCTCGTCAAGGACTACCAGCAGACGGCTGCCCGCCTCCCGACGCTGCTGTCCAGGAAGATCCACAAGGGTATCCCGCCGCCGCTGCGGGGTGTCGTCTGGCAGAGCATGTCCGGTGCCCGCGATGGTGTCCTCGAGGAGCAGTACGATCGACTCAGTGGAGAGTCTAGCCCGTACGAGCCGCTTATCGGCAAGGACCTGGGCCGCAGCTTCCCCGGCGTCGAGATGTTTCGTGACCCCGAGGGCGACGGGCAGCGTATGCTCGGGCGCGTCCTCAAGGCCTTTAGCCTCTACGACACTAAGATTGGCTACTGCCAGGGTCTCGCCTTTCTTGTCGGCCCTCTGCTCATGCACATGCCCGACAAGCAGGCATTCTGCGTCCTTGTTCGGTAAGCCTTACACTTGTTGCACCTACCTCGCTCACTATCCTGTCAACTCTGTCCGACGACTTCTAACCCCATCCTTCAGGTTGATGGAGCGTTACGACCTGCGTACGTGCTTCTTGCCGGACCTGTCCGGACTCCACGTCCGTATCTTCCAGTTCCGCGAGCTCCTCAAGAGCAATCTCCCCGCGCTGTCAGCCCACTTTGATGAGCTGCAGGTCGACCCAGCCTACGTTTCGCAGTGGTTCCTCAGCTTCTTCGCCGTTACCTGCCCCCTGCCGATGCTCTTCCGCATCTACGACGTCGTCTTTGCGGAGGGCGCTTCGGAGACGCTCATGCGTGTCGCCCTCTCCCTGATGAGGAAGAATGAGTCGCGCCTGCTGGCGTCTGCCGAGCTCGAGGACGTGATGCAGCTGCTCCTGTCGCGGGGCCTCTGGGACTGCTACCACTACGACGCCGACGTCTTTGTCGAGGACTTTGTCAGTCTGACGAGCGAGGTCTCGCGAGAGAACCTGTCTCAGCTCGAGCGGGGCTATCGCGAGTCTCTGATCGCCGTCGCCAACACGCGTGCATCCGACATCTCGAGGGCAGCCGCCCGCTTCCTCGGACGTATCTGGCCTACGTCGACAGCCACAGCCAGGCAGCCGTCGACGCTGAGTCCCGGCCCCACGGCATCGCCGAAGCCGCTCGGACCGCTCCGACGGAGCACGTCGAAGCAGAGCCTCGCGTCGACGCTCAACTCCGTCGAGGCAAGCTCGGCCAGCGTGGCCAGCTCAGCCTCGACAGACGCGTCTACCGTATCGAGGGACTCGTCCAACGCCGAGGACGAATCGTGCAGCCGCGAATCAACGCCCGTCAGACCCAAGGGGGCGGCCGTCAGCGGCAGCAAGGCCATGGGCGACCGTTACCTCCACAGCCAGATTGAGGATCTGCTCACGGCCATGAGCGAGCTGCAGCGTAACCAAGCTGCGCTGGCGAATCAGCTTCAGCGGGAGCGCGAGGAGCGCGAGGAAGACCACCGAGCTGTCCGGCCTCTCCTGGATGCTCTCACGAAGAGGAAGGAGACGAAGCCGTGCACAGGTTCGGACTCCATCGAAGAGGCAGATGAAGACGAGGACGAGCGGGAGAGGAGAGACGAAGGTGAGAAGGAGGAAGAGGGGAAAGAGGTGGGAGACGTGGGAGACGTGTGGTCAGATATCCCCGAGCTCGTCAGCCAAGCAGAGGCGCGGTTCAAGCAGGACGCTAAGGATCGGCGTTCGTCGATCCAGCTACAGTCCAAGGCGGAGCTACGGGAAGAGCTGGCGCAGGTCAAGGACCAGCTGGCCAATTCGATGGCGCTGTCGCAGGATTTCAACCGCAAGGTGCACGAGCTGGACACTGAGGTGTCGAGCCTGAAGGAGCAGCTGCGCGAGAGCCACGCGCATATGCGCAACATGAACCAGGACCGCCAGCGTCTGGAGAAGAAGATGCAGGCGATGCGGGCGCAGATCGATGGCGGGTCCCCGCGCGATCAAGGGTCCCCCTCGAGCATCTCGGGAGGGCTGCGGGAGCTCAAGCTGGCGCGCAGCAAATCGAGCCCGTCGCAGGCGGTCCCCAGCAACTTTGGCAAGCGGCTCTCGTCGCTCACCGCGCGCCGCGAATCAGCCATCTCGATGAACTCCGTCGGCACGGGCGCGAGCCTCGTGGGTGGCAGCGGTGGCATCAGCGCCAGCAGCAGCGGCGAGCTCATGGTGCCGGGCATCAGCGACCACGAGGCCCTGCTCTTGGAGCTGGCACAGTGCAAGACGGCCGAGGCGGTGGCGCGGCAGGACGCAGAGGAGTCTCGGCAGAAGCTCGAGTCGCTCCGGAAGGCGTACGGTCTGGGGCCGGGCGACGCGCCGCTGCCGCCGCACGCCGAGTCGGGAGCCATGACGGCCATGGCGCTGTTTGGCAGATTGACGGGCCATTCGGCCACGTCGTCGACCCCCGCTACTGCCAATGGTGGTGCTCCTGCTTCTTCGACCATGGCAACATTGACACCTGCGACTACGACGGGTGAGACCGGTGGTGGATTTTGGGGGTGGAGGAGGTAAAGGTAAAGAACACGCGACCAAGGTGGTGGTGGGGGATGCAGGAGTGCAGGTGGACAGTTCAGGAGAAGAGAACAAGAAAGAAGGTTGGATACATGTTGAAAGAAAAAAAAAAGAAAGTGTGCATGTTGGGAGGATAACAAGAATGGTGTATATACCCCGAAATTTGTTGATGGATGATTTTTCCCGGCATTTATATTCCATATATTCTAGACTAAAGTATCGGCGTTTTTCTTCTTCTTCCTGTCTCCAGTTTTCTCTCCTCCAAGATGAATAATTGCTGGATTCCTGTCTAGTGTTTAATATACTTTGAATGGACTTGGCCTTGTATGTGCTTGGCTGGTTGTGAATGAGTAATGCTCGGTGGTGAATGGTGATTGGTGGTGGTGCTGTGGTGTCTGTCTTGTGCGGTCATGACCACAATCACATGTCAGTCTAGGTGGAAGAAGTGGGAGGTGGTGGAGCTGTCGTCATTGCCCATCAGCATTAGTCTATGACCAGTAATACAGCGTTCCATTGGTACTACGAGCACAGTCGTGAGCTGTAGCAGGACTGTAGCAGGACCGTACCGGGACTGTAGCGGGACTGTAGCGCTGTAATAGGCTCTGGAGCACATGGACAGGATGGCGCCGGCACGCACTAGGAGTGGTAGTAGGGCACGCGACCGCGAGTGTGACTTTAGGTTATGTACGGAGTACATGTAGGCATAATTATATTATTAGCAGCATTGCTAGTGATAATCGCAGTATTCACATCTCAAATCCTTCCTCATTCGCATTGCTGCTAATACACGTCGTAATCTACATAACGTGTTATTGCGGTCTACTCATGTGTAGCTGTCATATTCTCGCCACGGGGCCTTGTATTCATGACGTGTTGGACAGGGGTCGAGGCTTATTGGAGTCGCGTGTGCCGGTAGCCTGTGGCAGTGGCCTGTGGGCCGTGGCAGTGGCCGGTAGCAGTCTGTATATTACTGGTAGTCAGTCACAGGTCTGCATTCGTTCTTGTGAACGGGAAGGATGACCACGACGACCATGACGGAAGGAAGGCAGAAGGTATTTGCAGGAAAGAGGAGAGGAATAGTAAGAATAGGGGTACTGCTAGGACGGTAGTAGAGAACCGGCGGGGTGGCGTTGATACGGTAGCGTTACAGCTGGTAAGCTCTCTCAGCCGGTCATCACTAGCTCTCAGCTGTGCTGCTTCTTGCTCTGGCCGTAGAGCTCGCAGTGCTCAGCTGTCCCGGGGCCCCGATGGGGGGGGGGGGGGGGGGGGATGCACTGCATGCTGTAAACCCTCTCCAGGGAGGTCAGGAGCTAGTAGCAGTGCTGTATAATACGGTGTACCGAGTAGTGCTGGCAGTATCGCCTAGATAACACCTGGGAGGGCAAAGTTATAGGGGCGTGGATGGCCATAGATGGGCATTTTTTTACTCGAGCTGCAGTGTTGTGGTACTATTTTATGATTATTAGTGTGTATCAGCACCAGCAAGCACCGTAATGCACACAACCACAAACTTCAGATTCTCTCTTCCCCTCCTCTCTTCCCTTCCCTTTCCTTCTTTTCCTTCCTGCTTTCTCTCCTATCCACATCTCATTCTTCTGTCCTTTTTTTTCTTCTGATTTTCTACCAAAAATCCACAACAAACGTACGTTTCTTCCTCTCGCCCCCTTCTATCTCCCTTCTCTCCCCGTTTTCCCATCTGCACCCACTCTCCCCCCCCCCTCTCCTGCATTTCTCAAGTGGACACCTTTTGTTTGTTCCCTTATCCGGCCCTTGGTGCTGTGCAGTACATTCTTCATCTCTCTTTCCACACGCACACACGCTCTCTTCCATCGTCGCCTGGCCTACAGACACAAAGAGGTACCCACTAGATAAGAACTCTTTGGGGAGGGGGGGGGGGATATGTTCACATCTCCCTTTCTTCTCTCTCTCTCTCCCCCTCTCTCTATCTCCCCCCCTTTTTTTCAGCTGTTTACCTTGTCTGATACTAAATAAACAGCAGATCGATTCGTCGTACCCCCCCCCTCCCCCCCTCCCCTGCTCGAGTCCTCCTCCCTCCCTTTCGCAAATCCGACAGACGGCACACGCACAAAACGGCTCCAAAAGAGAAAGATTCCTGTTTGCCTCCATCTCTCGCCATGTCCGAACCCGCTCCCTCGGTCTTTGCGACCACCAAGGCCAGTATGGTATGCAACAGATCGCAACCCCTCAGAAATACGCACTGACCCTGCTGGATCCGCTCCCAGAGAACCCCGCTGACGTTCTGGCTAACTCTTTACCAATATAGTGGAAATCGATGCCCTTGACTCGACCAGACCCCCGATTCTCGTATACTGACGGATCTCTCCTCCTCTTTGTCTAGATGCCTCGGCTGCCTATGATTCCGTCACCAACGGTATGTTCTCCTCGTTGCCCAGCCCTTATTGCGCCTGCGTCTGTCTGCGTACCACGGACGTATACCTGGACAGATCAGCATACTGACTGACCATGACCCAGGCCCCGTCGCGCAAAGTGTTCGTAACCACACGTCCAAGGCCTCGTCCGAGTTCTCTTCCCTTGCTGCCTCGCGCAGGACCCCCGAGAACCCTGCTGCCACCGGGCAGCCCCTGACCCACTACCACTCATTCTTCAATGAGCTCCTCTCTTGGAAGAACCCTCGTACGCCATCCGTCACCCATATCCCTTTCTACTCTTGACCCAGACTGCTGACAGCCTCTATCTTCTTCTCCCCCAGGCGCCTCGGCCGTCTCCTTCATCTCCATCGTCACCTTCATCCTCGCCGCTCGCTACCTCGATGCCACCCGCTGGGTCCTGCGCCTCACCTGGATGACTCTCGGCGTTACCGTTGCCGCCGAGCTCGCCGGGAAGCTCGTCCTCGGCAACGGACTCGCCTCCCAGCTCCGCCCCCGCAAGTACACCACCGTCTCCCGCGAGACCATTGACATCCTCGTCGGCGACTTCCACGAGCTCATCAACTTTGTCGTCATCGAGGCTCAGCGTATCCTCTATGTCGAGAACGTCTCCGTGTCTGTTGCGGTGAGTCCCACAACGTGCTACAAGTGCTCCAAGCTCTCCTTTCTCAAGTCTGGCCATAGTGCCGTGCCGCCGTACCCAATCCCGGCATACCCGGCGAAGCTCCACCATCTCTGCCAGCCTGTCCCGGGGAACTCCTCTGCCACTCCGAACCTGTCTACCACCACTTATAATCGCACGCCTGGCTGACCTTTGTCCATAGGCCGCCTTCTCCGCCTTCATCGGATACCACCTCACCAAGCTCGTTCCCTACTGGGGCCTTGCTCTGATCAGCACCGTGCTCGCCTTCACCCTGCCCCTCGTCTACATCACCAACCAGGAGCTCATCGACGGGCAGCTCCAGAACGCCTCGGACATTGTCAATGCCCAGTATGCACAGGCCCGCTCCATCGCCCAGAAGCACGCCAGCAACGTCACCGCTCTCGGCAAGCAGTACGCCGGGGACTCCATCTCCAAGGTTCAGGACTTGATCCGCAGCCGCACTGGCGGTGCTGCCAAGTCGGCCCCTGTGCCCTCGTTCCCGACTGCTCCCACCGAAGAGCCCGAGAAGGTCGACCTGCAGGCCCCCGACGTTCCAACTGAGGAGCCCGTGGCCGAGGCCAAGCAGGAGGAGCCTCTTATCTAAGATGCCCTCGACAGTTTTCTCTGCAAAGAGGAAATTCTCCTCCACAATGAAGAACCGGTCAAGATGACATGAAAGCCTTACGTCCGTTGATAAAGCATTAGAGTGTCAGCAACAAGGGAAAAGAGGCATAACGGCGGTGCTGGTCTACACATACCCCAGCTCCCTGGGATTCCATACACACGGATACCCCATGGCAATTAAACGAGACCAGCAGACCCAACAGATGTAGTGCAGCTTTACCTGTCGAAAGAGGAGGAAGAGGTGTAATGGGAATTTGTACCAGGACGTGAGGATGGGCGAGAAGAGAACGACTCCGCCCCTTTTGACCGTAACGATTTGAAACGCACCAGAATCAGAGGGACAAAAAAAGACCAAACCAATGACGTACGAATGGATGCCGTCTTGAGCGTGCATATATCTTTCTCTTTTCTCTTTGTTAAAACTTTCCTTTCACGGTCACTTTTATTTCTAGTATCATTGTTTTTTTATGCTCTTGTGCATCTGTTTACTCTCCTTCATGCTAGGCGGGCACTTGATTTCGATTGAGTGGCAAAGAGGTCCTTCCCTTTCCCTCCCCCCTCTGCTCTTCTTTACCAACGTCGTTTCGGCGGTTTTTTCTCATTGGAACTAGTCTAATAATTGCTACCATTTCATTTGACAGTCACATTACTGAGATGTATACTGTAAATTGCATTACTTTTTCTTTTTTTCTTTTTCTTTTTTTTTTTTTTTTAAAAAAAAAGCCAAGGGCAACCTTCTATACGAGAGGCGAATGCCGATGTAGTATTGTATGATGGAACAGAAGATGAAGATGATCAAGAAGAGACCAAAGATAAGTAACAGAAGAAGTAAGACAAAAGGAAGGAAAAGGCATGGATGAGGATGAGGAAGAAAAGGGGAGACGAGGAGATTTAACGCCTCTTCCTCGAACTGCCTCCATCGTCAGCAGCCGCTCTCTTCCTACCATTCTTGCTCCAGAACTCCTTGGACTCCCTCTTCTCCCTGGCCTGCTTCTTCTCGAGGTTGTCGGCCATCTTCTTCTGGAAGGCGGCGTGGTTCTCTGCCTTCTTGGCGCGGCGCTTGGCGGCGGCGTCGTTGCGGACGGTGAGGAGCTGCTGCATGAAGGCGCGGGCCTTCTTCTCCTCTGCGCCGGCGGGGCCGGCGGTGGCGACGACGGCGCGCTTCTGCATGTACGTCTGCTTGCGCTGGGGCTTCGTCTCGACGATCTGGGACTTGTAGGGGAGGCTGGCGGCGAGGGCGCGGGGCACGCGGAGCGAGTTGAAGTTGCGGGTCTCCCGCTCGACGGGGCGGTACTGGCTGTTGCGGGGCTGGGGGGTGTCGACGCCCTCGTCGCGGCGGACCTGGCCGGTCAGGCGCATGGCGCGCCACCCGATCAGGTTGTTGACGGGGTTGTACAGCCTGTGGGGTTTGACGGGGTACCAGGCGCGCAGGAAGACGATGTCGCTGACGAGGATCTTGTCCTCAAACGTGGCGCGGAAGTGGCCGTCCGGCTTGGACAAGGCGCGCTTGATCTGGCCCCTGATTCCCGAGACCGTCTTGATGGCTGCACCCTCGAACTTGGCAATCTCCAGCGACGACGAGAACATGTCCTTGATGAAGGCTGTGTTCTTGTAGATCTTGTACGGCGTGCCGGTGAGCTTGAGCTTCTTGACGATCTCGGTCGACTCGTCGACGCTCATGACGCTGCCCGTGGCTGCGATGCGAAACCCCGTCGTCGTGGGCGCCGACGACGACGATGACAGCGATGACGACATAGTATTAAAGCACGCGAACCCCGTGTTGGGCGCGATCAGCGGGCCGTAAAAGGTCGCGAAGCAGTGCATGTGCTCCGGCGTGTACTTGAGCATGCGGCTGCGCGTGCGCGAGTCCGTCAGGCTGTAGATGGGCATCGACTGGAACCGCCGCCACCCAAGTGAGAAGATGAGCGGGTCGTTGGTCTTGAGGATCCGCTTGTGCCACCTGTGCCGCTTGATCCGCACCTGCAGGTACCCGAACCGGTCCTCCGTCGGCGTCAGGCCCCCGACCACGATGGGCGTGTGGGCCGAGAACCGCTCCGTGAACTCGGCCGGCACCCCCTCCAGAACGATCTTGGCGTACTTGCCCGCCCGGTAGCCCTCCACCGCCTCGCGCTGCCGCTCGTCCAGCTCGGAGAACTCCTCCTTGTTGATGTCCTGCTGCTTCTGGAGCATCGCCTTCTGCGCGTCGTACCAGTCGTCCTCGCCGAATTCGTGGATGTTGCCGCCCTCGCGCCGCGCGTTGGCCTTGTCGTTCAGAAATCCGTCACGATCCTCCTCCTCGAACCGCTGCTTCAGCTCTTCTTTGCGCTCCGCGTTCTTCGCGCGCTCCGCCGCAATCTCATCCGCCGTCTGCTGCTGCGGCGCTGCTGCTGCTGCACCCGCCTCGAGATCCTCAAAGACACCGTCGCCCTCGTCGTTGTCGTCGCCATCCTCATCGAACCCGTCGAATTCCTCGTCGTCATCGCCCTCACCCTCGCCGTCCTCGCCGCCGCCGCCTCGCGATAGACTAGTTGCGAACCGCTTTCGTAGAGCCGCAATTTTGCCCTCCTCGGCCCACTTGGCCGCCAGATCCTCGTAGTCGTACTGGGGTATCGCTCGGTCCTCGACGAGGTCCTCGGCCTCTTGCTTCGACTTCTGGAAGAAGTCGTCATCATCCTCCGCCGTAATGTCCTCCTCCTCCTCCTCCTCCTCGTCTCCGCCCTTCCATCGCTTCAGGGCCTCTTCCGCTGTCATGGACTCATCGTACATGAGCCGGGCGAGGTCACCAGTGTGATATGAGCGCCTCTTTCCGTACAGCTTCAGCGCCTTGGCTTCTAGGTCGTCCTTCCATCTGAGGGCAGCGTCATCGTCGTCTCCCGATAATGACCCGAGGTCAGAATCACTATCGGCAAATGCAATGTCACCATCTTTGGCCGATTCCTTGTCGGTGTTCTTGCGGAACATGCTGCCTAGTTTCTCCTCATTGAACTCGTCCTCATCGGGGTCCTCGTTGCCGTCGTTATCACTGCCGCTCTCCAAGTCGTCCTCGTCACCATCTGCGTCGTTATCGCTATCGTGCTCGGCCATGCGAGCTACACGCTGTGTCTTACGGCCCGTGTCACCTTTTTCTTGGGGAGCATCCTTGATCTTCTCGCCACCTTCGAAGAGCTGGACACCGTTCTCAGCCTGGCCGAGAAGCTTGCGCTCGGCCTGGAGGCCGACAATCATCTCCTCACCCTCTCCACGCTCGACATCCTCTTCGTCCTTGTTGAAGGAGAAGCCCTTCTCCTTGGTGATCCAGATGGCGTCGCCGTCAATCTTGAGTCCGCTGCGATCCGACATGGGGGCGTGGAGCTTCTTCTCCTTCTCATCGAGCCTCCGGCGACCGGTCTTGCCGGTAATCTTGGCCATGGCCTGCTCCATGGCGGGCGTGGGGCAGGGGTCGGGTAAGACCTCCATGTTAGCGACGGTAAAGTCTCCCAGGCCGGGGACGTGGACCCTCTGGCTCTGCGAGAAGTTTGTGCCGCGGAGGTAGCCGGACAAGACGATGGAACGGTCGCACTTGGGGTCCTCCTCGATCTTGGTGGGGTGGGTGATGTCGCGGAAGCTGTCGACGAGGGCGTAGGGGTGGGAGTTGCGCCAGATGAGGGGACGCGGGTTTTTCATGACGGAGAGGAAGCGGGAGAGGTTGTGGACCTCGCGATCCGGGTAGCGGCCGTTCAGGACACCGGAGAGGTAGAAGAGGTGGGCGCCCTGGTAGAGCTCGCTCCACAGACGGCGCTTGAGGCGCTTCTTGGCGTCCTTGAGGGCCTGGGGCTTGCGGAACAGGTCGAGATGGGTGAGGATGCCAAAGACGTTTCCGGGCATACCCGTGGCCGACAGGACGTTGAGGAACTCCATCGTCTCCATCTCGAAGCCGTAGTTTCCGTCAATCATGAGCAGCACGATATCGGCCACCTTGGCGACGTCGACCATGGCCTCGAGCTCGTTGGGGCACTCGAGGAAGGTCAGGCGCTGCTTCTTGGAGGTGACGACGGTTATAGGGCCCTGAGGGTCCGAGATAGTTTCCTTGGAGTATCGGCGGATTAACGACTTGAGGAGCGTCGTCTTGCCTACGCCTGGCGGGCCGACGATGGCGACAAGACGGGGGGGAGCTTCCTCAGGCAGTCGGTCGACGAGGGGCACATGGAGGCGTTTCTCTTTGATCTGCAGAGGGTGGGATCGTCAGTTTTTCCCCCCCTTCTTTTTTCGTTCTCTCACAATATTATACAGTAAAACTACCACTCCCAATTTCGGGCTATGAATCGTCTTAACTCACATCCTGCGATCGTGCCGCACTGCGCTGAAGCTTTCCGGGATTGGCAAAAGCAAAGGCTTTGGGATTGCGTTCTAGCATACAAAAAGTCAACGTGGGCGCTGTCTTGCGTGTCTAGGAACGATGACAAATACTCACCCCCAGTCTGCTGCGGCTTCTTCTCCTTCGACTTCCTATGGGGCTTATGCGCCTGCTGCTCCATGTTGGGCGAGGTATGTGTGTGTGTTTGACCAGAAGTCAGGTTTGGCCACAGAGTCGATGCGACACGATGTAAAAGATGGCAGCGGCAGTAAGGGAAGAAAAAAAAAGATCAAAATTTGGATGGAACTTCTTTATCGATAAGATATTGACGGTGGGGTTCCCGCCACATACACTAGCCACGATATTCAGGAGTCCAATTGAAGACGAGGATACAAAGAGAGATAGTATTACTAATGCCTGTCTTACGAAAGCACATGGTGAATCAATGAATGAAAGATGCAATATGTGGAGAAGTAATAATATAAACAAGATGGAAAGTAAACAGCAAAAAAAAAAAACCTAAAAATAATGGACAAGGAGCAAAAAAAAATGGTCAGTATGAGGGTCGAACTCATGACCTTCGCATTATTAGTACGACGCTCTAACCAACTGAGCTAACCGACCAATTGATGGGAAATGGGTGAGGATATGCGACTCATCTCTCTCTCCTCAGTCTCCTCAGTCTCTTCATCCTTCGACTAATGAAGCAGAGAGATAGAATATCGTCCCCGAGTTTGCCAACCGCCACCCCCCCCCCTGCCTGGCGCTGTCTCGACTCATTATCGCGATATTTCCATGACGTCTGCTACAATCCTATTGTTCGTATGCTGAGCCGATATGCATCATACTCGTACTAAAATCTGACGGTATTGAGAAGCCCTCTATCTGCCTCGAATCTGCCTCGAAGGCCATGCATCTGAGTCACAAGCAACCCACACACACACACACTTACAGGTACACGTTTACACAGTCATAAGTCACACAGCCCCCCCCCCCCCCCCCCCCCCCCCCCCAGAAGAAGAGAGATGACGACGGGATGGGGGAGAATGTAGCATACAAAGAAGAGTCATCTGGGTGATTGGTCGGCTCAACTGACGCTGTTGTTCATGCAAGTACGTGTAATAGTTCTCTTCCGCCTTTTCACTCATTGCTAGTATTACATACATGCACGTGTACATATATGTTGCGTGTGTGAGTGGCAATCTTGAAAGGCTAGCCGGCGTTGCGCGCTCCCTCGCACCGCCTGCAAGCCCATATCTAAGAGATGAGTGGTGCTGCACGGGTGGATGCTCTGATCGCTTGGGTACCGTAGCCGGTGGGTTTTGCGTCTCTGTTAACTATGACAAATGCTCCGAAATGCAGGTATGACATGGCATGGCAGCCTTTACGTCGTCCTTCTGCAGTGTCTGGCCGGACCGGTGTTTGCAACGTGAATCGGGGGGTCTCGGTGGGATCGGTATCTCTCTCTTCCAGCTCTGCTATGTTAGCATTTCGACCTGAACATCATCTTGGCCATGATGCTGTCAAGGATGATAAAGAAAAAAAGAAAAGAAAAAAAGGGGAATTCTCAGTTGCATCGCTCCCTATTCCTACCAAGCAATACCATGTATGCGCGTTAGTGACTCACGCGACCGCTTCCCGGTAACTCAATGGCCTTTCCATCATCGTGCGACGCACAATAAGCTGCAAGGTAAGCCACTCTGCATCAGTAGTTTCGTTACTCTGCCAGGGTTCAGCCTACGTTGTGTGTTAGTCCCTCTCTGCAGGACATTGATCGGAATGGGGAACAGGCACCAGGGTCTGGAGATGGACAAGGAGAGAACATGGTGAGAACTGATGGAAGGCTGGCTTCCATGTCAGTGGCAATAGTATTAATGGCAGTCATTGAATGAATATATATAGATGATATGTATTCTTCAGGACGGAGAAACAGAAACAAATAAACACAAACACACACACACACACACACACACACAGACGTTCTAAAGCAATCACGCATACACACATACGCTTATTCTGTACCAGCATCATCAACGGCCTCTTTCACACGCACACACACAGCTCCCATACATACCAGCAAGCATCATCACCATGTCTTCCTCCGGCCTCAACGCAATGGGCATAACAAACACCACCTACGCCCTGGCAGACCGCCAAACTTCGATGGAACTCATCGACGGTATACTCCACAACTCCCGCCAGCAAGCCGAGGCCAGAGCACGCGCAGCCGGCAAGAAGGCAGCCGACCTCGAGACTTCATCAGCCACCACAGCATGGACGGATGCCAGCATCAGCACTGCTGCCGACGCGGACAAGACGAAGAAGAAGAAGAACAAGGCCGACTTCTTCTCCAGGAGACACTGCTCAGACAACTCCCAGGTTTCCATCTCTCGTCCATAGCACCTCGGCCGAGGTTCATATTAGATGCTCTCACAGGTATTAGCGATATATTCGCCATGAACTGCTTACTAGGCATACATCTTTCTTCTTGAGTAACGGCGCTTTGGAAAACAGAGCAGTTCGGTCCATCCAAACTGCTCCGGGGGCAGATCTGCTTTTTATGATGGCAATAATGGAACACCCTTCCCGGCCTAGGGGATTGGCCTGGTAGAAGGGCGAAGGAGGAAGGCTGACAGGCTGGTTTCGTTTTGTTTCGTGGAACTATTTGAAGGATTGATTGTTTGAAAGGGGTATCGTTTCTCTGGTTTTGCATTCCTCCTCTTTTTCTTTTGCCTTGTTCATCGAGGCGAGTTAACACCGGGTTGGCGATGGAAACTATCATTATTAAGATGATGAGAAAGACTGTTCTCCTCCCTCTCTAAAAAGTATCATCAAGGAGCTTATCATTCATCTTTACCATGGTGGGGCTATACTCGCTCGACTCGGGATCAGCGCCCGCATCAAGCAGAATATCATCGACAATCTTCCTGCTAGCCTCGCGTGCTATTCCCTAAAAGTCAGCGATATTCAAATGTCTCGATGTACAGAACAAAACAGAAAAAGAAGGGGAGAGAGAAAGAACTTACCAGGTGTCTGTATGAGTCTCGAAGGGGGAAGAGCAAACTGTATCGTTTTAGGCGGACTCATCCCCGCATACAGATCCACATCATCGTCGTCCACCTCCTCGCCAATATCCCAATCGATATCGACCTCATCCCCAGCCCCAGCCTTGGCCGATGACCCAGCAGCAAACACGTCGCGCGTCTTCCTGGCCGTAGCGGGAGTCTGGACACTCACCCCCGGCGTCCTGGGACCTTGCTGCTGCTGAGGTTGCTGCCCCTGCCGCGCCATGCTCTTATACGGAGACATGAAGGCCTCGCTACGGAGCTTCGGCGCGGCGATTTCGGGCGAGGACATGGGAGAGTCGTCAATGTGACGTCTCCACGACGCTGCCGCCTCGGGCGTCCTGTTGGCGACCTGCTTCCCCTTGAGGGGCGATCGCGTCGCGGCCGAGGCCGAGGCCGACTTGTGCGGCGTGGCCTGTATGCGGTAGTTCTTGTCCAGCACGCGGTGCAGGAGGGGGTCTTTATTGCCGCTCCGATGCACGGACTGCTTCAGCGTAGTGGTCCCTCCTGCTCCGCCTCCAACGCGAGGCGTCATCGACATGTCCGGGAGCTGGGCGGTGCGCTGGGCCATGAGGATCGTCGAGTCTTGCTCGTCATCGTTGTCGTCGTAATCATCATCCTGCGGGACTGGCATGCCGTCCTTGTCCTCGTCGCGCATCTCCTTCTTCATCGTCTCATAGGGGGTGTCGAGGTCAGCCGCTGTCGCCGCCGCCGTGCCTGTCGGGTGACGTGGCGTGCTGCCTGCAATGTCGGCCTCATCTAGCATCGACTCGTCGTCGTGGGCTGCCCCGGACCGATCCGCCACCTCGGACCGCGCCCCCGGCGTCCGGTGCACGCCTGTCTCGTTGTCTCCGTCGTTGTCGTCGTTGTCGTCGTCGTCGTCGTCGTCGTCACGCATAGCTGTGCTCTCATCCCCGGCTCCTACTGTTGTCTCGCCTTCATTATTCCCCTCCTCGTAGCCCGAGAGGGACACGTTGGCCGACGCTTCGAAGAATTGCTTCCAGAACTGTAAATCATCTTACCGTAAGCTTTCTTCCTCTTGAAAATTTCCTGCAGTGTAGTCCCAGTTCTTTGGGCCTTACCTTGGAAGCTTCCCAGATGGCTCGGGAGTGCTCCCCGTACTGCTCAACGACTGGCAAGATACTCGACGTCACGATGCGGTGTGACTTGCTGAAATTGTGATCAATCTCTGGAACAAGCCAGTCAGCCAGGTACAAGACAGGGGGAAAAGAGGGCGTATTTCGAACCTTGGAGTGTGAGTGTGATAGACTGCTCGAGCCTCTCGAGCTCTTCCGTAAGTGACAGATTGCGCGCCGCAACACTTGGTCTCGCCATGATTGTGCTTGTTTGTTTCTTCAAGGTTGATGGTGACGCGTGGGGACGCGATGAGGGGCAGAATCCATTTATTTTTTTGGCCATGTGTGGGATGTGTTACATATGTAGCGTCCCCGTATACAAGGAATACACGTAATACATCACATCCCGCACGTTAACCGTCAATGATAGATGCAGAGAATCTATAAAGGAAATCATTTCGTCCGTTCGTAGTATCTCGTCCAACCCGTCCAAACACATGATCTAATAACGCTTGGTATAGTACCCATTGGCATCGATCTTCATCAACAGTTGCGCGACGACACTCTCGTCACCCATGCCACCACCCTTATTGCCCCCCACGCCACTGCCCTTCTCCATCAGTCCTCGGCAAACAGTGATGAAAACCTGGACCTTCTTCTTGAACCTCGGGTATATCCGAGCGGGATCCAGATCTTTCTCATCTTCCGTGGTAGCCTTGCCCACCCTCTGCAGCCGGGTGACCCTGGCAAAGTCGAGAATGGTGGAAAAGACGTCCTCGAGCAGGGCTAAGACAGGCTGCTGCCGTTTCCTCAGGAACAAAGTCGACATGATTGTCTGCAGGGCGTCAGAGTGGAGCTGGCGTACGGCCTCGGGGCTTGAGGGACTCTCGGCCATGCGTACGTCTAGCGAGGCCTCGATGGTGTCCAGCTTCTCCTCAAACGCGTTCCAGGGGAGGGCGATGCCGACGTCCAGGAAGTACGACGCGACATTTGTCACAAAGTGACGGGCCTCGCGGACGAACCGGTATGACGGCAGCTCGTCTCCATCGTCGCCTCGGCGCACCACGTCCCCCCACAGATGGTTGACCACGTAGATCATACGCAGGATCCGCAGGAGTAGCTTGAAGACGCGGTCGTGCTGCATCAGGATCACAGGCGGTAGCACCGACGCCAACTCTGGCGGCGTCTTGTAGCTGAGGCGCAAGAAGTCCAATGCCTGTAGTGACGCGGCATTCATGCACTTTTCAATCTCCTCCTCCGACATGTCGCGCACCGCAAAGCTCAGATCGCCGGGAAGATCCGCGGTGTCTCGAGAGTGACATCCGGCAGAAGAGGCAGAAGTGCTGGGCCGGGTCTGTGCAGCCTCGTAGCTCTCTCCCAGTACTCCCATGAGAGCGAGCCGGAGCTCTGAGCTGGCCGGCGGCCAGGTATCACGAGTGCCGAGCCGGAGACCCATGACGCCTCCTTGCCGCGCGACACCTGTCTGTCTGTCGGCCCTTTCCAAGTCCGGATCGAACAGGGCGTGGGATAGGCGGCTGACGAACAAGCCGTTACCGAACAACTGAAAGTCGCGCTGCAACCTGAGGTGTGCCCGCAAGTCGTGGCTCCTGAAGAGCTGCCGTAGGGTCTCCCGGTTGACCACGTGCGCCTGGGCTGTCACGATGCTGCCAAAGGACAGGACTGGTAGCAGTGACCAATGAGGCCTAGAGCCCAGTCCACTCTGTCCAAGGTGGATGTCTCCTGCAAGCCGTCGGCGGATGATATGAGCTAAGACATCCTCACTCTTGGCTTCAGGACCCGGTTTGTTAAGTTGCTGAATCGATTGCAGAATATGTTTTTCCATGGCGTTCTCATCCATTGAGAATATCCCAAGGCTTGGCCCGTCAGGCTGTGCCACCGTGCCTGTTGTATTCGTCCCCTTGCCAGAGGTAGCCGGGCCGGCTGAGGTGGGACGATAGCTGTCGATGAAATCAAGAAGTCTATCGCGATAGGCACTGGCCTCCTTCTCGAGACGCAGTATAGTGTCCCAGCTGTACAGCCAGTCGGCAGTGGGTGGCTTCGTCATATCGATGAGGTCCGGCCTTGCGAGCGGATGCTCTGGGTGGCTTGTCCGAATGAATCGTAGACTGCGGCCAGTCTCGAAGACAGTCTGGGCAATGTCATCCGGCATGAAATGCGGCATCTTGCTCTCGTCGAGCCGGAAGTCGATATCCTCGACCTGCTCTCCAAAGTCATCCACGTAGACCTCGGCCTCGACCTTGATAAAGGACTTGCTTTCACCGACGTTGGACTTATCGAGCGGAACCCCTTGTTCCCTCCTGGTGCCGATCCACTCCTCAACAGATTCCGTCCACGGCTGTGACACGCGGCGCAGTACCTCGTGCATTACCTCGCGCAGCCACTCCTCATTATTTTCCAGGGACGAAGCATAGTCGAATACAAGAGACATGACGTTCTCGTCTGAGTGGTTCCGCTGGAGCCGGGACGTGAGGCCGTGGAACGGCGACAGTACGGCCGATATGTCCTTGACGGTCGCCTGCAGCTGCAGCAGCGAACTGGGCCTCTGCCTGCGCAAGACGACATGTTCCCGTGTCGCCTGGATGACCCGGTCCAGCGCGCTGGCCAAGGCAACGGCACAGCGACTCCGCTGCCTGGCGTACGTCTGCCGAACAAAGGCCTGGAGCTCTAGGAGACGGGTCCCACACATGAGGCAATGCTTCTCCAGGCCCTGCAGCACGTTGGAAGAATACCCGGATATCCTCATACTTGGCAGGGCAGGTCTGAAGGGGAAGTGGCTGTCATTGCCGGTCCTGAGGAACAGCATAGACTCCTGTCCGAGGGCCAGAGCCAACAGCGAAGAGAAATAGGCCCCAGCCTCGATGACAGGTACGTCGGTGTTTTTCAACCTGAGCGGATCGCGGTCCAGCCTGAGAAGGGCGTCGTAAACGGCTGGGCCAGCTTCGGTGAGCAACAGGGGAGTATGGCTGTCCGGGCGCGTCGTCTCTTGAAGAAACGAGTCCCAGGTGAGCACTCGGGGAGGCCCTCCGTCGGTCGGCTGGTCGTCGAGGCCCAGCCACATGTCAGTCTCAACCTCTATATCCGCTTCGTTTTGCTCTGACCCTTGGCGCGTCTCGTTGTCGTCTATCGTTTCCTGGCTTGGGGGCTTTTGATCCAGAGCAGCAGAGCCATCGAGTTGAGGGGGCTTGAAGAAGCCACTTTGATGAGTCGATGTGTCATGGCCAGTCAAGATTGAATCGAGGTGATCTAGGGGCTCTCAGAAGGTCAGATTGTACAGGTATGGCTTGAGAAAAAGAAGAGGAAAAGAAGCATCAAGCACCATTTGTGAACGGCTGGGAGAAGAAGGGTGTCGGGTCATCCTGAGGAAGCTGGCCAAGCCATCTGGACGATTGCCAGAAATCAGGGATGGCAAAGACATCAGCTACCGCGTTATCCTCGTCGCTAGCCATCATAGACGAGAAACATGTAATTTTGCACGCGAATTCATGAAAGCGGCATGTGGATCGTGCACTAGATTTTGACAGCTTGTCCATCAAAAGAGTGTAGTTTAGATGATGCCCCGCGACAACACGCGACGGAGAATAGCGCGCGACGTTTTGGCCAAGATTCGATGTTTCTAGTACATAGCCGTACAAGCATAATTAGCGCCAAATGATAGGTACCCTGTACCTTATCCTTCCCTTTACCACGTCATGAAGAACAATTTTCGACGGATTCTTGGGAGCTTCCTCACAAACAAACTCCTCCTGACGCACAGACAATTGGTAGCTTGGAACGATTCCATGTTATCACTCGATTATCTCAACCCCCCTCACTAGGTCGCACAAAATAGCTCGCAGCTCCCTCCCTGACTCGCACGATGCCTCCTCGAAAACGTGCTCGCGGCGGCATCCAGACCGGATCGTCGTCTGCACGCACGCCTCCAGCCCGCAACGACGACGCTATGGACATTGACACGCCGGAAATGGGCAACGAGGAGGAAGTGGCGTCGTCACCTGGAAAGGAGGACGAGGGGCCTAACTACAACGATTGCTGGACCGACGACCAGGTAGCCTCGCTGTTCAAGGGTGTCATCCGATGGAAGCCAGCCGGTAAGTTCACCGATGCCTCCAACCGGCCCGCTACATGTCGCCTGTTGTTGCTGATGATGGCTGACTTTTGTATCCGACTGTTTACGCCTCTCCCAGGAATGCACAAGCACTTTCGCATAATAGCGATATCCGAGCACCTACGCAACCACGGCTTCGATCCAGACCACTACAAGCACACGCGCATCCCGTACATCTGGCAAAAGCTGCGAAGCTACTACAACCTCGACATGATTGACGAGCGCGAGGCTCTGGACGATGACGAGCCTGAGGATAGATATGTCGAGTTTTCCCTGCCTCGGGCCGACTTCTACGAAGCCATGATGCAGCGCGCACTGGCCAACCTGAGCGAGGCCCCCACGTCGCCTCCAGAGCTTGACGTGGAAGGGTCGACGCCAGCTCCCACGCCAGCTACCAGTGCCACCACGACAGCCGCTGCGGTGAGATCGTCGCCGCTGCCACTGCCCAGCAACAGCAACAAGAGGCGAAAACGCGCCGACACGGTGTCCAGGACGAGGGCCACGTCGCGCGACGGCACAGAGGAGGCTACGGATGCCCAGTCGACGGCTGGGCGGTCTCGCGGCTCGAGAGGCAGGACCAGGGCTGCTAGTGCCGCCAAGGTCGAGAAGGCTGAGACGACAGAGGAAGAACAGGAAGAAGAAGAACAGGAGCAGGATGGCGAGGAGGGGGAGGCCGAAGATACAAATGAGGAGAGCGAGTCAGACGATGATGGCGACGATGACGACGACGATGATGACGACCAGCCGGAAAGTGATGAGGAGACTGCGGCAAAGCCGTCGAGACCGACGCGTGGCGGTGCAAGAGGCCGTGCGGCAAGGGGCAGGGCAAGGGGTGGGCGACGGAGGGCAAGGTAATAATACCGTACAGCTATGGTTGCTTCCACCTTGTTCTTTTCATGTCTCTGTATAACGTTCAACATTATGAAGTGTACATTGATAGCCTTCATGGTCATGCAGCTCTGATGAGGCCAAAGAAGAAGAAAAGGAGACAAATGAAAATCAAAGAGCTGAAAGAGTGTGAGAAAAGCGATCGTCTGAATGAATCAAAGTGTCTCCCACTCGCTGCGGTACTGCGTGTTGCGCCTCCAGTCCCTACCGAGTGGATACATGTTCTCGACGTCATTATTCGACCTGCTGAGCGGTTCTGGCTCCGACACCTTGGCAATCTCAGCCGGAGGCGACCTCTGGAGGAGTTTCCACATGTCAAGTTCGCCCCTGTAGCTAGCGTACTGGTCATAGTGATCTGCGAGTCTGTCTCTCTCGCGCTCCGTAACGATGCGGCTCCTGAGTCCCTCCTTGAGCCTGGCGGTCGAGGGGAAGTCCGCGACGGAGTACTTTAGGACCTCGTTCATCTCAGCGTCCACGGCATATTTTTCCTCGTCATCGTCGTATTCTTCGTCGTCGTCGTCGTCGGTTCCATGATCTCCTTCGTTCTCTTGGTCGTCCACATCTGATAGCGATACATCCGATCCATGCTGCTCGTACGTTTTCCTGAGCTCTGGCAGCAGCTCTGCTGCTGCTGCTGCTGCCGGTTCCTCACCGGTACCCGATAGTGCATTCTCCACCTCATCATACGTCATGAGCACCGGCTCTCCCGTCTCGTCGTCGATATGACTGTACACGTCTAGGCGGAGACGACGGGCGCTCCTCCGCCAAAAGTCCTCCGAGTTGGTGGGCATACCCAGCGACGCGACGGCGGCTTCGACATCCCTCCTCCGCAGCAGGCTGCGCGTCTCGGGCCGCATCTCCCGCTTGGAGCGGATCCTCGTCTCAGCGGTGAATATGGCCGTCTGGACGAGCCGGCGGGTGACGGACACGGCGAGCGAGTGGAAATCCTCAAAGGTGGTGGCCCAGATGGAGGGGGGCACATTGTCGACGTGGGCCCAGTTGCTCCCCGGGACGGACGAGTTCATGAAGAAGCGCTGCGACAGCTTCAGCCACATGGGCAGGTGGAACATGCCGAGCGACGGCAGACCGCTCGCCAGGCTGCTGTCGTTGCGCAGCCGCCTGGCCACGTCGGGCGTCAGATCCCACACGTCGGTGCCCCATATGCCCTCCTCGCGCTGCTTCTCGCGGTTCTCCTGCCTCAGGGATATGGCATCGGCTGCCTCCTCTAGCGCGTGGCAGCATTGTTGGCTCAGCTCCACCGCCGCGGGGTACTCTGCCAGCGTGAGCACGGGACGACTGTCCGTCCTGAGGCGCGCGGCGTGCTCCTCCTCCAGCATGTCGAGGTAGTGACCGATCTCGACAACACTCTTGCTGCCCACACGTGTGGCGATGCCCTCGACGTCGTCGCGTCCCAGACGAGCAAGCGCTTCGAAGAAGGCCTTCTTCTCCACGGCCGACCAGACGACCATTCCCAGCTGCTGAGAAGCCGTCAGTCCGCCGCCGTCGTCGTCACCTAGGCTCATACCCTGCGCAGCATCGCGGATGTCCTCGTTGAGGAGGGCCAGGTAATCCACATTTGGAGGGCCCTTTTGCCTTTTGAGCGGTCTGTAGGCGTTGGTGTCGTCGGCTGACCGCTTCAGAGGTGGTGGCGCGAACCCCCCGTCGCTGCTGTCACTGTCGGCGCTGTCGAGCTGCTCGTCGCCGCTGGGCAAGAAGTCTCCATCCGAGCTACGCTCTTCTGGACGTGACCGGAGCTGTATAGTCAGGGGGGAGAGCTGGCGGGGCTCCGCTCCTGCCTCTTGTGATGGAGATGGGCTTGCGACGCCTTGGTCGTCGTTCGGGTATTCCGAGACATCGTAATACTCTGCATCCACATCCATCGTGTCTCTGATGTCGATGAGGGTTTGAAGATTGTCTAGTCAGACGTAGGGTGCCTGCATGGTGCCGGCAAGGGTTGCTGCTCAGAGATGACAGTGTCTGTTGTTGATCGACTCGAGATTTGCCTGGTATCGAAACCTTCCCATGAGATTGTTTTCGTGACAGAGCTGGATTACGATGCTCCCAAAATCTTTTGGGTGGTTCCGTGAGTTTAGCGGTCCAACCGCCTGAGATGCTTCCCCCGGTATAACGGGCGAGAATACCGGTAGGCCGTTTGGCAGGCTCACTGTGGTTCAGCCCGTGAAGCATCGACATCCGTGATGCAAGATGGGAAATTTCGGGCTTCTCTTCACCATCACACATACGAGGTATATCCAAAACATCACTGCCAAAACTACAAGGAGACAGAGGCAAGCATGTATGAGCAAGCAGGGGTCCGACGCCCAGTAGGAAAGCCTTTGTACCTCTCCATATTCCGGCTCCACCAATTTGGTGCAACGGCAGTGACCGGTACATTGCACATACGCGCTCCTCCGCTGACCACTAAACTTTCTCCACGAGCCCCTAAGCCTTGAATATTCAGGGATACACACCTTTGGCATAGCCAAAAAAAAAAAAAATAACCAGGACAGGCTCGCTTCACCAGCTCATTTCAAGAAGCATCGCCATGTGCAATGCTACGCAGAATAGGGAAGTGTCTCTCCCGGCCGCAAGGTTGCTGGATCGGGGCTTGCCCAGCACACGCCTTCCCTCTGCGCGTCGCTAGGGCGTCGTACGCCACGCTGGACCCTGACGGCAGCGCCACCAAGATCAAGCTGCGAAGTTACCAGCTCGAATGTATCAAGTCTGTTCTCTCGGCTCTCAAGAGCGGACACAAGCGAGTTGGGATCTCGCTAGCCACGGGCAGTGGTAAAACGGTAGGCCCATCTTCTATGCCGAGACTCGCTCACTCATCAAGCCGTTTCGCTAACCAGCTCACCCATAGGTGATATTCACACAACTCATAGAGAAGATCCAGAAGAATGTCAAGGGTGGGGACAAGACCCTCATCCTAGCTCACCGTCGAGAACTAGTCGAGCAGGCAGCTCGGCACTGTGAGGCCAACTACCCGGGCCAGAGGATCGAGATCGAGATGGGCTCCCTGCACGCGACGGGCACAGCCGACATCACCATTGCCAGCGTGCAGAGCATCAACTCCAAGGACCGGCTGGACAAGTACGACCCGGACAGCTTCAAGCTGGTCCTGGTAGACGAGGCGCACCACATCGTCGCCCCCGGCTACCTGCGGGTGCTGAGCCACTTTGGCCTGGACGAGAAGCAGGAGAGCTCCCCGGCCTTGGTGGGTGTGTCTGCTACTTTTTCCCGGTTCGACGGTGTCAAGCTCGGCGCTGTTATCGACGAGATCGTCTACCACAAGGACTACGTCGACATGATCTCGGAAAAGTGGCTGTCCGACGTCATCTTCACCACGGTCGAGTCGACGGCCAACCTGTCCAAGGTGAAGAGCAGCTCGTTTGGCGACTTCCAGACGGGCGAGCTGTCCCGGGCCGTCAACACGGACTCCATCAACGACATTACCGTCCGGAGCTGGATGGCCAAAGCCCCCGACAGGAAGTCGACCCTCGTCTTCTGCGTCGATCTCGCCCACGTCGCCGGCCTGACGCAAAAGTTTCGCGAGTACGGCTACGATGCGCGCTTCGTCACGGGCGAGACCCACCGCGTCGAGAGGGGCGAGATCCTCGAGTCCTTCAAGAAGGGGGAATTCCCCGTCCTCGTCAACTGCGGCGTCTTCACAGAGGGCACCGACGTGCCGAACATCGACTGCATCGTCCTCGGGCGGCCGACGCGGTCCCGCAACCTTCTCGTCCAGATGATTGGTAGGGGGATGCGCCTGCATCCGGGCAAGAAGAACTGCCACATCATCGACCTCGTATCTAGCCTAGATACGGGCATCGTCACCACGCCCACACTGTTCGGCCTCGATCCCAACGAGCTGGTCAACGAGGCCACGGTCAAGGACTTGGAGTACCTCAAAGGCACGAAAGCAGCCGAGGAGGAGAGCAGGAAGCTGGCCTACGCCAGAGGCCAGGGCCCCCGTGTCAACTCGGCCGCCGCCGTCACCTTTACCGACTACTCGTCCGTCCTGGACCTCATCGCTGACACGAGCGGCGAGCGTCATATCAGGGCTATAAGCGACTACGCTTGGGTGCAGATCGGCTCGGAACGCTTCGTCCTGTCCGCCCCCAGCGGGTCCTACATCCGGATCGAGAGGGTCGGCACCGCTGCTGGCCAACCCGAGGCTCCGAGGGTAACAGGCGGGGCCGACTCGGCGCCCGTGTACAGAGCCGTCGAGGTCCGAGCTCTACCCCCGGGAGCGTCCAGGTCCCCGTTCGCCGCGCCCCGCGAGATCCTCACGGCCTCGACGTTTGCCGACGCCGTCCACGGAGCAGACAGCTACGCTGCCAACGCATTCCCCCACACCTTTATCCACAGATACCAGTCCTGGCGGAAACTACCACCGACACAAGGCCAGCTCGACTTTATCAACAAGCTGCGCGGCACGGCACGGCCCGTCAAGGTTGCCGACCTTACCAAGGGTAAAGCAGCGGACATGATTACCAAGTTGAAACACGGTGCCCGTGGGCGGTTTGCAAAACTCGAAGCCGAGCAGCGACGCAGGGAGAAGCAAGGCTCCGCGGCTGATGCTAGGGGTTCAAGAGAGAGGGTGAGAGTTGGACCTGTCGGGGCATAGGGCTATGTTGCCTGCGATAACAATGTACAATATGGACTCTTTTGTATTATCACTACTAGGATAGAACGACTGGGCGTTTTTTTTTGTTTTTTTGTTTTTTTTTTGGGGGGGGGGCTACAGCGATTTAGATTTTCTTTTTGTTTGGACTGGGGAAAGCTCGTGTGTAATAACTTGGTAGCAGCTGATAGCTATCATACTGAACCCACCATGAAACACCAGCGCTTCACTTCCATACCAGGCCACGCCAGTCTCTCAACTCATATTACGTGACCACTGATGTAATACCGGCAAGCACAGGAACCTGCAGGTGGGAAACCTGCAGACGATAAAAGGTCTGGCGTGGCATATGCCCCTTTTTGCCCTCCCTCTGTTCTCGAGTCCAACTCCTCAAACCAAGAAGAGATATCTGTCCTTCGCGCCTTCCCCCTCCCCCAAATAAAGGAGAGACCTCTGGGGCAGTGTATCAGATGCTTGATTCCCTACTCACGTGATGTTTCTCGTATGCCGGGGGAGGGCTGTGTCTAAGAGCACAGACAGACACACACACACACACACGCACATCCGGGTCACAAGACGAGTTGCATCCTCTTCCTCATTGCACAGCATTAGACCTTAATACACCGCTGTTTATCCCAGTTCCCCCCCCTCTGGATCTGATAAATTCAAAACGGCCGGGTGTATGATCCGCGATAACGTGGCCAATGACCCCCTAGAACAAGGCGTCGGGGAGGGCAGCCAGGCTGTATACGCGTGAGCATAGGGGACCCCCCACGGATATGAATCATCGTCACTCGACTCATTTACTGTTGGCGACTGACACGCAGGTTAATCACCTGCTCGATCATGAGAGGAATTTCCCTCTCATGGAAAATTCAGATACGAACCTTGAGGGTCCTTCCGATATCGCTCTCAGACGTCGTGATTTCTTCTGCTTCTTGTTCTTGTTCCTCTCCTTCCTTCTCGATCGCCCTCCTGCTCTTCCTTCCTTTCTTTATTTCTTCACCACATGTCCAAGTCCAAAGAGAGAATACTTCTTTCTTCCTTGTTTGGGCCTTTCCCGACTCGCTCCTCCCTTCACTTCGATGCTTGAAAGCAGAATCTTGCTAGATTTCATTGTGCAGACAAACAAGCACACACCCAAAAACACGGGGGCAAGTGGTTACCTTGCACTACCACACTTTTTTTTCGCACTCCCTTTGCTTTACCTTGTTGATCAAAGACAATCTTTCCTCTTTTCCGTTCCCTTGTGCTACCACATTGCATTGCCAGGTCTTCCTTCTTTTCGTTGCTATCATGAATAGCAGCAGCTTCTTGACACCACCCAGTCTTGGATCGAGCATCACATCTAGGAGTGATTCTCATGTTGCTCCTTCGGGGAATGAAATGACGGTCCTTCTTGATTCTGCCATGAATCTTCATACAGGGAGAGGTCCGTTGCTTCTAGCATCTCAGACAGGTCCGATTCCCGTTGACAACGACCCTGATGGTCCGCCGTGGTCTTTTGTCGAGAAGGTGACCTTTTCGGACTCTTCTCCAAGGTCTGTAACCTCATCGTCCACCTTTTCGGTATTTCCCGTCACGGGAAACATCAACAATCTCTCCGTTGCTGGGGACGAGCCCCGATATGTGCTCCCGCTTGAAAACTCCCCATACCCTGATGACGAAGCAATCGATTCCACGGACCCAGACACTGACGACGAAGCAATCGGCCCCATGGATCCCATTGACCTCCGCGTCGTCACTGTCGGATACCCAGACCCGCCGGGTGTCGTTCTTCGCAAGCAGTTCAACATCGGCACCACCCGAGAGCCTGGCAGGAGCAACGTGCCCTGCTGGATACGAGGCAACTATCCTCCACGACTTCCCCGGAGTCCCCACGACCTTTGCTGCCCCGCTCACCAAGGCTCTGGATTCGATACTCATGCCTTCGTAGATGGATACATGGACAGGACTCGCAAATTGGAGTACCAGCTCAGAATTCAGAGCGACACAGCCCGAGATCTCAGACGTTGCATTACGGATAGCCAACTCTCCATCGAGAATCTCCGTAAGGAGGAAGAGCTCTCCGGCAAGGAAAAGCGCAAGAAGCATTCTTTCACCCTGTCCCAAGACATCTTCAATCTTGAGGAGGAGATTCTCGCCCAGCAGGAGTGTCTCCGTCAGACCCGCCTGGCCTCGGAGAGAATCATCGTCGAAAGCTACAGCCGTCCCCCTGACGATACTCTCGACCCGGAGATGATCACTCCCACAGATCTCGGACCGCCGCCGAAGGTCGGCCCCTTTCTGCTCGCCGCTCCTAGCTTCGCATGGGAGTCCCACCACTGCTCGTCAACGCAGATGCGGAAGCCCGATCCCCTCGTCCCAGACTGGTTCCCCGTCTTTATGAGCTACAACATTGTCCGCTTCGCGCCGTCCCACGCGTCGGTGGCGGATTGCTTCCGCGAGCTGCTCAACATCATCCACGACCTCGAGACTGAGGTAGGTAGGAGTGATGCTGATCAGACACCACATGGTTTCGACATGGAGTGGCACCGGCCACACCCGGGATGGGACACGGTCAAGCGACGCCGGATCGGCGGCTAGTGGCGATGCCGTTCCGGTCCTGGCGCCCCATTCTCAGAGATTCATTGTCGTCTGTGCAATGGCTTCGGAGCTGATCGCTGTCGCCGTCTCCTCGAGGATGAAGGTGGCGATGTTCTCAAGAAGAGGCTTTTCAGTATCAATACTGGCATCGCCGACGCCCAAGCCGAAGTGATGAGGTGGGATAAGGAGGAGCTCAAGAAGCGGGAGAGGTAAACAAGGAGTCTCTCTTGGCTCTTGACTCACCCCCCCTTGCCTCTTCTAGGAGGTCTTTCTCATACTTGGTTTTCCTGTCTTTGCTTTCCATCTTCACACTGCTCCTTTGAGGGGGGGGGAAACCCTTTCTCACTAAAGGGCAAGTCACAGACGTCAGGTCAGTGGCTTTTTCCCCCCCAAAATCCCCTCTTCTCTCTCTCTCAACAACTCTCAGGTGATATATACACGAGAAAAGAATAGGAGGAAAAAAACAGGTGCTAGTAACGAACATGAACGTTGAACATTAGGAAAGGCAAAATGAAAAAAAAAAATTTTGAAAAAAAAAAAAATCACGGTATCGACGAAGAAAAAAAGGGGTAGCAGGGATAAGGTTGATCGATGAAAGGATATCATGCTGGAAATAAAAGAAAAGGAAGGAGATAAGAGGAAAGGGAGATTTACACACAACGTTGTTTAGTTTGTTCAATGACTTTCCGCCAGTTCCGCCGAAGCTCGTGATGTAACATTTGAATCTGAATGTTCACTATAAGGTTCGATTAACCCTTAACCCCTAACCCTGATAGCAATTCAGAGTTGGCAAGACCCCAACCTCAAGCATGTTGGAACTGGACGAAGTTGCACTTCCAACAGGCCACGATACGACACCGCTTACACTTGTAGGCGAAACTCGGACATAGAGCCCCTGGCAGCAGGACTGGCCTCTGCGTGACCTCCACCCAAAATGGGCGCACTGGCGATTCTACAGGACGGGAGCAACTTGTATGGATACCCCCTTACGTAGTCGCACCCGACGTCGAGCTCGACGACTCGACCGCAGTCGTTGCACCCGACGACATCCCATCTTCTCCAGTGTGGGGAAGGACACCCTGCGTTCCGGTGGAGTCCCGCTGGGCAGTCCCCGCCGTGATACTCACCTTTTGCATGCCAGACAGGTGACGTGCCAGCGCTTCCTGCAGATGGCGGCGATATCCCCGACGACCTCCTCGGTGCGCAGGGCCGGGTCCCGAGTGGGATGGGCTGTCTGCGGCACCGCGTAGGGCTACAGTGACTCGTTGGCCGTGGCCGCTGCGAATAGTCTGGACGGACACTCGCCGCAGTGGTCGTGGCCGCAGGGGCAGAGCAGCGGGTGGCTCGGGGGCAGCATGCCGTGGTAGGACGTGCATTTCCTGCCTCTCTCCCGTGTCTGCTGAGGCTCCCTGGCTTTGGCCTTCTCTTTTGGACTGGACTTGAGCTTGGATGGTTGCTTCCTGTTGGACGGCCTGAGGACCATCCTGGCAGCGGGCGAGTTCCCCATCACCTCCCATCCTTCTCGAGAGCTCTCCTCGGTCTTGTTGATGGGTGTTTGTTCGGCTGCGGATGGTTCGCGGATAGGCAGCTCAGTGTCGGGGGTGCTCGTATAGGACATGGGATCTTCCCACGGACACCTCAGAAATTCGAACGAAGCGTCGTCTTCGTCGTCACGATCTGCAATGGTAGTAGCCGATGTGGTATTCTTACCCGTAGGTTCCTTTCGATGAAGACGAGGAAAGGTCTTGGGGACACTCCTATGCGTTTCGGCCACTTCGTGAGCCCCCATATCATCATCACCTGTGAGGGCTTGAGTATCTGCAATGTCAAGGTCAAGCATGAGTCGTATGCTCTGGGCATCAATCTGTTCGAGGTCCATGGCTGACTCTGGACCCGTCTGTAAATGAGAGCGGGAGGAGGAAAAGAGTAAACATGCAATGGTAGCAATAGAGATAGGTGAGAGTAGAGGGAGGGGGTGGAAGGAGGAAGGATTGGGCTTGTCGTGCCTGTTGCTCATACACTCCTCTCGGGATCGTTTTCCTGACATCAGGCCATTCTCCCTCTTTTTTTCTGTCGTCTCTCCTCTTTTGATGTTCATTACCATGAGCGCCCGTGTTCATTCCGATGTTTGATGCACGTAACGAGAGACAGTTACCAGCATGCTCACTCGCACGTACCACTCCATTGCTACATCCCACTACCAATAGCAGACAAGGTCACACCACGGCCATGTGAAAAAAACTGAAAGGTTAAGGAACAGCCAGAAAGGCTGCGTATGACGATGTCTGCAGGCAATCACCATTGTGCCATATGGCTTCGATCTAGTGGTTGGTTGGTTGAATCCCCCGATGCACGTTCATTCTGTTAGTTGTTCATCTCTACATCTGAAATCTGTCCACACGTAGTAATAGTTACAGAAACATCGACAGCCAACTTCAAGTGCCGCAGTCATCGCCATCACTGTAAAAGCTGGTCCTCGTAGAACTGAGGACACGGACATTCCTTCCACGGGGTGCCGCAGACGTAGCAGAACTGGGCTCCGCATCTGCAGGCTAATATTGATGGTGAAGATTGGTTAGTCCTCGAAAAGAAGAAGAAGAGGGAAACAGCTCCTGAATCGTTTTTACTTTCTTTTCGTTGAGAGGAAGGGTAGAGCTTACTCATGTGATTGCAGCCGGTCTCCAGCTCAACAACAAGGCGACAGTTGTAGCAGCGCTGCCAGCCATTCCCCTGCGCGATACCCAGAAACTCGTGAGTCGTCGTATCCTCTGGGCAGTCCCCCTGGTGGGACTTCCCCTTACAGATGGTACAGGTGGTTTCCCGGCATCGGGGGCACTCGGCAACGTCGCTGTCCTCGATGCTCGCGGGAGGGATGAAGGTCGAGCACTGCGACATGTGGCAGTAGGTCCGATTCTCCGTCTGGTACTCGATCTGCTTGCTGGAGAAGTCGGAGATGAGCCTTGACGGTAGCCGGGGCTGAGCCTGCCTCAGCGGGAGGTCCTTTCCACAGCACCTGGGGGGGTATAGCGACTCGTCGACCGTGGCCGCCCTGAACAGACGAGCGAGGCATTCGTTGCAGTAGTAGTGTCCGCACGGGAAGCAGTGGCTCGTCGCCGAGAGGAGCCGCAGCATGGAATCGCCACAGGCGATGCATGCCCGCTCTTCCTCTTTCGTCTCTTTGACCTCTGCCTCATTCTTTAGGATGCGGACCATCTTCCTGTGCCACCGCAGCTGGTAAACCTCGTCCATGTCCGGGTCCAGATCCACGAACTCGTCCTTTGCCCTGGAGGCTTCCCACCTTGACAGACCGGCCTCCATAACCACAGTTACGGCCTGGTAGAATCTGAGGTGGTCTTCGTCTTCTAGTTCCGAGTGGGGTTCGGCGTATCTCCAACGCACGAACTCCATCAGGTCGTCTACCGCCTGACAGTATTCCTGCTGGGAATCCTCCCCCTCCGCTCTCTCGCTGGATTCAACTTCGTTGCTGGTCCTTGCCCGGATACATGAAGCAGCCAATGCCGCGCGGAACAGGGTCTCTTCGCATGCCTGGGTGCGTTCTGCCCTGGTCTCGTTCATGACAATGGATCTTTCTTTGTCGGCCGCAGTTCGCAAAAGGGGCCACTGCGCCTGGTAGGTTTCGGTCAGAGCCCGTACGAAGTCTTCTCTGGGCTCCTCGAGGGGGTCCTTTCTCTTCCTCATCTGTTTCCCAGTCTTGGACTGGTGTTTGGCATCCGCTAGGCTGGACATATTGGTCTTTCGTGGCGTCTTAGCCTTGGCTGCCGACGGTCTGGACGGTCCAGCCTCCGGGGTTCTAGTTCCGCACACGGCCAACCTGCGAAACCCCTGCGACAACTTTTCCTCGGTAGTAGCGTTGACACAGGTACATGTTGTATAGCTGATCTGCCGGGAGCTGTCGTCGTCGTCGTCGTCGTCGTCATCGTCGTCGTCGTTGCTGTTGTTGCTGTTGCTGTTGCTGTTGCTGTTGCCGTTGTTGTTGTTGTAGTGGTTGACAAGCGTGGCGGATGTCTGGAACTGTCTTCTGTCGATGCTGCCGTCCTGGTGACCACCCAGTGAACCCAGCCCTTGGACCTGAGGCTGGAACGAGGTCGTGTGGGCGTCAAGAGCTGCAGCCGACCCGGCGCTGAGGTCCAGGGAATGTGCGAGGCTGAACTGTGCCAGAGCCTGGAGCTCCTCTCGGTAGATCTCCGCCGCGAGCTCTGCATCCTGGAGCTCACGGTACTCTAGCTGCGTACTACTACTCGACAGGCGTTGAATGTCGGAGAGCTGCAAGTCGAGGATGAGCTGCATGCTCTGGGCGTCAATGTCCAAGTGTTCCATGACCCTTTCTTCTTCTTCTTCTTCTTCTTCTTCTTCTTCTTCTTCTTCTTCTTCTTCTTCTTCTTCTTCTTCTTCTTCTTCTTCCCTTGTTTCTTATCTTTGTGTGAAAATATATGTATACATGCCCGTGGGTGAGGAGAATAGCGAGAAGAAGAAGAAGAAGAAGAAGAAGAAGAAGAAGGGAAGCCAGCAAGTAACAGCAGAGCTTTCAGAGCCAATCGGTCTTTCATCACCCAATTGCACATCTTCTTTACCTTGGTAGTGTGAGCCCCTCATCGACATGCATCAGGATGTCTGATTTGTTCATATATTCACCTTTGCCTCGCGGCGAGCCCAACCACACCACTCGGGCATTGTCAAGCAGCAACAGACCTCCGGCAAAGGACATGTACCTATCCGGAATCAGCATGTGCACTTTATCTTTGCGGGACAAATGTTGGGTTTGACTGAGGGGAGAGAAGAGTGTGTATGGACACTTCACTAAGTCCAATTACTGGTAACCGAAACGGCCGATTACGTGTAAGTCTACTACTACCTCCGTACATGCACCACCCAAGCTACTCGTAATCGTCGGAAAAGAGGAATAGATTTAGAACAAACCAAGCATAGAGAAGAGAAAGGAAGGATGCGTCTTCGCAACATCGCCCCTATATTACATATTACAGATATGATATCGGCATGGAAAGCCAAATCTAAAAAAAAAAAATCCAAACTGTCCTGGGAGAGGCTCGAACTCTCGACCTTTGGATAGCCCAATCTATAGATTGAATCACAACTGTGAATAGTTATGAGACCAACGCTCTAACCAACTGAGCCACCAAGACATGCTTGCTGGTGATTGGGAGGCGGAGGAATATCATACCTGATAGGGGTTTCATTCATACTACTCATCTAGACGATTTCGGGAAACAAACTGCCACGACTTAAAATCAATGACTACCGCACTTGTACCAAACATACACACGGACAACAGCGACTGCCAACAACCTCAGTACCAAAAAAAAATCAGCTTCACTAGACACACAGATGCCAGGAGTGGTTGATCTTATTTAGGTCGGTGCAAGGTCAAAAGATTGTCTTTCATGTAACCTGCACTCAACCATCTATTAACCGCGCCTATCATCCGTCCCCTTGGATATCAACCACAACCACAACCTCTTCCTTCCATTTCCTCCTAAAATATGGGTATTTTTGAACTTTTCATAGTTTTTGTTTGTTTTTCAAAATTGTTTTTCAAAATTTTCCCTCATCCTTCATGACCTTGTCATCAAATGACAAACCAGGGCATCGAGAGAGGCCAGAATATTTCGTGTGCGTGGTGGGGTATCAGACAAAGTGTGGGAAGACCACCAGTATTTTTTGTTTCGTTTTCGTAACCAGTGAAGAGTTTTAAACAAGGCGCATACATCTCTCAGAGGGCAAGAAGAGCAAAAGAACCTGAACGGACTGCGTATCAAATAAAAAGCAGAAAGAAAATGTGCAGAAAGAAGCAGGTAAAACGTCAAAAGCAGTAAACAAAAAAATAAGATAACACGGTTTCGGAAAAAAAAAGCACGATTCGACTTCATATCAGAGCCATGTTCATACCTCGAGGGTGTTTTTTTTTTGTGTCGTCAGGGTATATCCAACCAGGAGGTGGGGGGTATTCGCATTTGCAAGACCTTCTGTTTTCTTCGTTTCTCAAGAGGAACAAGAACAGATTCAAAGAACGAGAACAAGGAAGGCAGGGGGAATCTAACGAAAGGGACCGATGGGTCCGGAAAATCCAGAATTGAAAGAATGAGACGTAGAAGGGCGCCCGCTGTCGCCGGAAATGCGGGTGTGGTGACGGGGGGTGGCGTCCCCGGGGACGGGGATGGTCAGCTTGCCATCGACATGATTGCTCAGGGGCCTCGGGGCCCAGGGGTTGTCGTCGTCGGGTAGATTCACGCCGCTGTCGTTCCAGGGGTTGCGGTCGGCGTTGAAGCTGCGAGCAGACTCGATCGAGATGAGCGACGACTTGGACACGTTGCTGGAGCCCTTGAAGAAGTTACCATTGGGCGAGCGGGAGCTGTTCTTGCGACGGTCGAGGAACGACGAGATCGACGTCATGCCTCCAGGCTTACGCAAGCGGTCCAGGATGCTGCTACGCTCCCTGGCAATCTCGTCGCCAAAGGCCGGTGTCGTCTGGGTGTCGCTGGCCGAGGCCGAGGGTGCGTGTTGCAGGAGCTTCGAGTCAAAGTACTGGAGGCTGTCCTCGAAAGAGTCCGACTTGGGGCGCGGGAGGGCACCCTTGACAACGGTCACCTCCAGCCCAGAGTTGGTCAGCTGCTCCATCAGAAAGTCGACGGCATCGCGCAGGCCTCCGGCATTGTTGCGCGTGAATCCCCAGCGGAGGGTCATTGTAGGACCGCCCTCCTCGGTGACCTCGTCCGACTGTTCTCGGACGTTGACCTCGACCTCGTGCTGGTTCTTCAGCTTGCCAATCAGCTCCTCGGTGAAGGGGGGGCTCTCGATAAACTTGACCAGCTCTTCCGTCTTGGCCAGAACGAGTTCGTGGTGGTCCGGCACCATGCCGAGGAACTCATCAACGCAGTGGGGGACCTGCCACTGGGGACCTGTCACGGTGACCTCGTCGCTGGCCTGCTCGGTGCTGGGGAAGTTGATCTTGCAGTTGTTCTTCTGCTCGAGGGCCTCGATCTCGTGGAGGCGCGAGATTAGCTGGCGGTGGTACAGGCGGTCAATGTTGACAACCTGAGAGGTGTACTCGGAGTCCTGTCGGAACGGTCAGCTCTCTGTACTTGTGTTATTGCCCTGCTCGGGCTTGCCGTTTGCATCATTTGAACTCACAGTTCGGTCAACCATCTCGAGAATCTCGTTCTTAACAGCGTCGAGGTTCTGGGCGTTGCGAGCAGGGGTGCGGCAGATGACGTTGTCGACCTTGATGTCGTCATCCTCGCGGCCCATGCCTCCTCTGTCCATAGCGTTGGAGAACTTGACAAAGACAGAGTGCTTCTTCATGATTCTCTGAATGTGCTGGCCACCAATGCCGATGATGCGCTTGTGGTACTGGTCGGGTACATGGAAGGATATGGAGGCAGGCATCTCCTGCTCGACCAGGGTGAGGCCCTGCTTCATGGCGTCGTAGCTCGTGGCCATGACATCAATGTTGAAGTTGTACTCGTTGAAGCCATCAAAGATGATCTGGACGTTGCTCTGTCCCATAATCTTGTTGATCTTTCCATTCTTCTTGCCGCTGACAAACTCCTTATGCTCGTTAGCGAGCTCAATCTTGACGCGAATCTGCGACTGAGCCTGAACGACAAAGTTGAGATCGGAGATGACCACAAGGGCGGACTTGACGGCGTCGTCGGAGCCCGTAACCTGGAAGCTCATCTTGTCAAACATCAACTCGGCACCGGAGCTGCTGCAGATCTCGCTGAGCATGGCCCTGACATCGGCCGGGGCGGGGATCTGGCGGGGCTCAGGCTGCTGGACGTACCACCCGGCGACATAAAATTGGCCAGCCTACATGACATGTATTAGCCCCATCAATTCCTGTAGTGACCAATCTCTCTATTTTGCTGAACATCTCGACCGTTGTACTCACCAGGTTCATCAGCTCTCGGACGGTTCGCTCGACAGGAAGACCTTCGCTACCCTGGACACGAATCGTGGTTCGCTGAGTGCCCAGTGCAGGGAACATGATGTAGGTGCCGTTGGCCTCCAGGATCTTGCGGATCTTTTCGGTGCGGTCAAGCAGGATACTGTCAATCTTGGCGGCCGGGAGGGTGACATCCTTGATGTAGAGCCTGATACGGGAGGCAATGTCGTGGAACTTCTGCTTAGCCTCGTGGATGGCCTCGGGGGTGTCACCGGTGATGAAGATGTCTGTGGGGTCCCTGCGGCTGGCGTTGGGCGGCGTATATCGGTACATCTGGGAGAGCAGAGGTGGGAAGTAGACGGCCGTGTTGGTCGAGGACTCGATGTGCTTGATATTCTTACGGTGGCGACCGCAGACGATCTGGTGGAGCGACTGGTCGAGCTTGATGGAGTCGACATGACGTCCGAGCTAGATGGCGGTTAGTCCAGTGCAGGCAAGGCTGGCAAGCTTGCAGCCGGTAGCTCAGATGGCATGTGCCGAACCCGACAGCCGGAGCACAGACTGGGGGCCCCGAAAAGGAGGGGGGAACGTACCAGAGTGTCTATGTGGATGAGGACGCGGACCTTGGCGTGCTCAGACGACAGAGGGTCTCCGTAGATGGCCACTCTCCAACGCTGATCCATACGCATCTCGGCCTCGCCCGTCATGCCGTCAACCATGGGGGTCAGCTTCGGGCCGAGCAGGAAGATATCGACGCCACAGAACTTGGAGATGTAGTCGAGGGTCTCGGGTACTCCATCCCTCAGTTTACCAGCCTTCAGGTCACAGACGAGATTTCCATCGACATCGATGGTGGTGCATCGCTGCAGGTGGAGAAAGTCAGCCTCTTACGACACTTGCTACAAAGAGAGACAGACGACTTCTGTTTCCCAGTGTTCCGGGGAATCCTTGCCAAAACGCACCATGGAGATGGGGGTATCATTGAAGATGGCCTCTCGGCTCTTGTGGACCAGATCCGGGGAGCCCGAAAGGCAGACGGTGGTGACCTGGCCGCCCTTTCCGTTGGCGGCGGGGAGAGAAGCGACATAGGCCTCGATGGGCAGCGGACCGGCTGAGAGATCCCTGCAGAGCCTCCGGAGGGCGTTGAGCGACTCGACGTGGATGGGTAGCTCGTGGACATCGACGTCGTCGGGGGCATCCTCTGAATGCGTCCACCGCAGGACGGCGTCGGTGGTGGCGTGGAGAATGTCCTCGGTGTTGGGGCCGGCGAGGTCAAAAGCGAAGGGCACGGTAAAGGAGCAGTGGATGGTGCTGTCGGCGGCGTGCGGGGGGCTTAGCGATGGACCGGCCTGCGGCATGTTCTTAGGGTGAGGAGGGGGATTGCTGCTGTTGCCGTTGCCGTTGATGGCGGCGGCGTTCATGGGCACGTTGGGACGACCCATGACGAAATTGGGACCGATCCTCTCGCCCCATTGCCGCATGTTTGCCAACTTGTTCATGGTGATGGGACTCGGGGGAAGTAAATCGGTTCGAGGGAAAGGAGATGTCGGCGGCGGCAGCAGCGGGGAGAACGAAGGGAAGGGGGAATAGTCGTAAGAAATGGGTTTCGGCCGGCGGTGATTGAAGCGAATTTTGGGGGGGGGGTATCGAGACGGAAAGAAAAAGAAAACGTTGAAATAATGAAGAGGAGAAAAGAAGGAGCCCGGTGATGGGTGAAGAGAAGGAAGAAAGGAGAATGGGACGAAATAATAAAAAAAGAGGAAAAAGAAAAGGGTATTTTGGAGGCGTGGAGAGAGAGAGAGAGCTGCTATGCGAGTCCCTCGTGGACGACAGAGAAAGAGTACAAAAGGTAGGAATCAAGAATCGAAACAAGAAGGAGAGGCGAGATGGGTGGGGAGAGTTGAGGAGCCGAGTGATGGCGCTGAGAAGGTGACATGTACGTGCGATGAGCGTATATTACTGGTCCAGCCGGTACTGAGTAGCGAGTACATATAAGCAATACAGCGTAATAAACCATAGCCCAGTGCATGACTACGAGTATTGCAGGGCGAGTGGTCGGGTGAGTTGTACATGTACATGCAGCGTGCTGCCGGGGATCCATACCAGATGATGCACCTGTATTCCAGAGCCTAGAGGTAAACCTGCTAAGGTACTGTTAGTGGGCATGTGGTGACGAACCGCTGAAGACGCGGCAAGCACGGCGATATCTGACGTACCAATCTGCCACACTACCAAACAGCAAGTCTCGAAGATCGTCCCACGGACAGCCTCCTCAGGCGCTGGAGATGCTCGGTCCCAGGCCGTCCCTACCACTTCTCGGCGTCTTAACGTACGAGTCCGTGGACGCTGGCAGCTGGACAGTAGACTCGAGCCATTTGAGGTCATCCATGCTGAGCCCATGGTCCATGGTCCATGGTCCATTCATGGATCAAAGGGTGGAGAACCTGTGTAGGCCCCAGGCGAGCAGGGCTTTGGTACCCGAGGGCTGGGATTGATTGGCGCTACGCCGCTAACGCGCCCCTCTAGCGCAGATGTGTATGGGTATATGTACGAGACTACGAGCGGTGCTCTACTCGTACCACATGTATCATCACTCCGTACTCGTGCACCGGAGACGACGAGAGGGAGAGAGAGTATCGCATGTTAGACGTCGTGGCCTCCTTCCCCGCCATCGACTATCAGAGCTACTCGTCAGCCGGCCCCAGGGCTGTTACCTTTCACCTACATTCGTAGGCTGTAGCATGTAATACCGATAACGTACAGCGTGGGCTATGCCGTAGGTACCGTCCACTGGACTGTCGTGCGCTAACTGTTGATCGGTGACGGACTGATGCAGAGTATGAGCTCACCACCAGCTCTTGCCTTTTTTCTCTTTTTTTTTTTTCCTTTTTTTCAGCAAGGAACGGTGGGGTGAGTCTGGATGAAGGAAAGATAGGGGGAGGGGGAAGGAGGAGGGTGTCAAGAAAGAAACAACCAGACATCGGTTCTCGGGACATGCTCCCTCTTCCCTCTCCTCTACTCGGGGACGTACGAGTATTATTGGAAGTTTGATACGCCATGGCAGGGACAAGAAGATGCACCGGTACAGTACGAAGTAATACGTCGTCGAAAACATGACCCCTACAGCGATATCCATCCTCCGCGTTCTGTCGGGTTCCGTGCCGGTCCCACCCCCGTCGTATCTACATATTCCATCGGATAACGAGGAGAATCCGAGAGGGGTGGGGGACGGAGAGTGAGAGATGATTCTCTCAAGAGAGAGGAGAGGGAGGGAGAGAGTCAGGGAGAGAGAGAGAATGGGAAATCAGATAGGATAGGGAGAAAAGCCATGTGTCGGTCCAGCCAGTCGAACCGCTGCCGGGAATCGGCCAGACCTCATACGCACCCAGTCAGGACCTTGTATCTTACAATCCACCTGATGCACGAGTTCGATAATACTGCGACTGCTACTGCTACTGCTACCGCTACTAGTAATCTGACGGTACATATTAAGACCAGCACCAGCTGTGTTTCTTACTAGTTACAGTGATTAATGCGTAATAATCGTCGGAGTGAAGCTTTGTGTGCGTGGATCGACAGACAATGCGCAACGTATACCAAGATGCAAGCTGTGCCGATGCCGATCTCGAGCCCCATCATAGACCCTCACTCGTCGTCTTTCGTCGTCGTCCTCATGGTGAGAGAAGTGTCGCAACAGCAGTACTGCTCGTAGTACTATCCGTATTCTTTGAAGCGATTACGCTGTACATGTAATGCTCCGTACCCGTTGCATCTGCAGTACACCACCATCCCAAACGGAGGTCCAATCCTCACTTTTGCTTTCGCAGCCACACACACACACACACACACGGCTCTACCCCTCCCCCCTCACTCTGTACAAGGCCAAAAAGATGTAATATGTAATAATACTCCTTAGCGACGCACCATAACAAAGCTGGCCTCCATCAGAGGAGCACAGGGCCAGGGGGGGTGAGGGGGGGGGACATGAATCTTTTTCTCCGGAGCTCTCCGCAGCTGCAAGCTGCACTGCCGCAGAGACTCACAGTGGGACTCTGCTTTCTCGAGGACTTGGCACTACAACGCTCGGCACACACGCACACACACAATCTGACTGTTCCTTGGTTTCGGGGAAGCTGGAAGGAGGGTCCCCATCAATCACACCAGATAGGCTGCCTCCTTTCTCTCTCTTACCCCCCGGTGCAGGGAGAGGGGGCATATTACATGATACATGTACAGATTACATTCCAACCCACTCAGCCCCCCCGGTCCATCTCTGTTCAAGCCGTCATTCATCATGTCTCTGGTTTGCTCCCTCTGGACCCTCGCTCTTGTTGTTGTTGTTTTTTTTTGTTTATCCGGACTCTTAAGAGTCGAGACCCTCCCAACTTGACATGGGGGGGAGGGGTAAGGAAGAAAGAAAGAAAGAAAGAAAGGAAAAAAAAAGAAAAGAAATAAGGGGGGGAAAGTACCATTTTTCTTTTCCCTTGGGAGAACATGACTCTTTTCTTTACCTGTAATATCATCTAGTCTCTTGCTTCTTTCTTCTCCTTCAGAGGGCTGCCCTTTTTTTTTAAACCTCGAAGCTTACGCCCTTGGCAGCTTGCAACCCCGCTTACTAAGGATATCCGGGTACATGAACTTTCAGCCCTCGACGTCACAACAACACAGAGACCGAGGTCAACAAACAAGGACGCGAACGCGAGTAAGAGAGGGAAATAACCGCCCATGACGTACTACGTGTTGATAGCAGCAGTGGTAGGCTGTAGTGATGAGAACGGCAAGTAGTACGACTACCATAGTCCATGCTCTGTTAGGTATTAATATAGCATCAAACAAGTTCCTTTACGAGCCAGTCCCCCAGCTCTCCCCTTCCAGCGTCACACGGCACAAGATACTATCTATCCCCGCCAATCCGACGCATCTTTAATTAAAGACTCGACTCGAACCAACAGATAAACTCGTAGACACGTATGCCATACTCATTCATGAGGGGGTTACCCTTTTTATTTCTATCTTCATTGAATAGTACGACTATGTCTCTTTATTCAATTTCTTTCCTTATGAGTCAATGCCACACACACATACACACACACACACCACACGGTCCCAGTCCACCTGTGTGCTTTTTTCTTGCCTCTGCCCTAGCAGCCCCCTCTTGTAGATTCGTGCAGAGTACAATCGATGGGTTCCCATTAGTCTCTAGTATTACTTACTCTTTGAATCTTACTTCGTACTTCTTTTCATCTTGATTTTTTTATATTCAATAATACCCTCCAACGAACAAGTACTCGGAGAGGATCGGACCCACCTTCCTGTACCACACATTCCTTCTGACCGTGGCTTCTCTGCGTGTATTCACCTTGAAGCAAAGGGGGGCTGAGCAACAAAAAAAAAAGAAAGCAACACAACATACGTACTCCGACGTACACACACATGCTTTTTTTTTTCTTTTCCAAATCACCCCTTACACGACAAATGTTAGCTGAATTTGTTTGATGTGATTCACTCGCATTCCAAAACAACCCAGTCGTACGGCCAGGCAACTGAAACATAGCTCGTGCATCGTACGTTCGTGATGCCATACAGTCAGACGACAACTTCTCTATACAGTACGAGACGCATCGGTGACACCTTGTACGGAGTACAGGGTACTTGTATGCAAAAAAAGGATGATGAAAAATACAGCTTAGCTCCCTTTCGTCGTCTTCTTTCATGCATACATACGCCCACATTCTCTCTCCCTCCCACTTCTCTCTCTTCCTCTCTCTCACAAATTCAACTAGAGTCGTGGGGGAAAAATCAAAACAGACAAGAAAATGAATAGATAAAAAAACATATAAAAAAAACATAGATCCCAAAGGTCCTTTACAAATGCTCGCTATTCCTCAAGTATTACAGCGCGTACGGTACAGTACTTGCATCCAATGCCCGCACGGACACGAATTGTGTGACGGGCTGAGTATCAGATAAAAAAGAAAGGAAGGTAGGGCTTTGTCTCTGTGCAAGTCCCGTGCCTTGTAATATTGACGAGCCGGCCTTCTGCCTCACCATTACCGGTAGACTTCCCTTCTGGCATTATCTGGATATACAACCTCCTGAGCGGCACCACGTGGGTGCTCAGTAAACCCAACGTTCTCCACTCCGCGAGGTAGCTGTTCCGCCCCGGGGCCGTAGTACTGCGGCTCGACCGGACGGGTGCTGTATGCACGTTGTTGATATACCGGCTGCTGTGGCGGCTGCTGCTCCAGCGTTGCTGGCGGCGGTGGCGGTGGACGCTGCCCCGCGTATTCGACCATGTACGGTTCACGTCGCGCCTCTGGGTACACACTACCGGTCGCGTAGCCGCCGTAGCCCGGAGGCACCTCATACCGTACCGGGTCCATCGGTGGGCGAGTGCTCACCGTCCTCGGGGGATACTCCCCTTCGGCGCCGGCAGTCCACTGCTCAGGAGGGGGTGCCATCACCTGGACGTATTCTGTCTGCGGGACTGCCGGCCGCACCGAGTACTCCCTTGGCCGTCCGTCACGGAAATCCTGCGACGCGTATTCGGGCTGCGTCATCACGCGTCGCGGTCCCGGAAATGCCGATGCTGCACGTGCGTAGACAACGCCGCGACCGTCTTCATATGGTACCGACGTAGCACCCGGGTGTCGCGAGAGGGCCCGAGTCGAGGGCCGATCGTACACGATCTCTGGGCCTTGCGATGGTGTCGGAGCTATGGACTGACGCAGCGGGGGGCGGCCAGGTTCAATGTACTCGCGCCCAAATGCGTCAACAAAGATCCTTGTTGGCGGCAATGGCGGCATCGGCTGCCCGACGTAGGGCCCTCCACCCATGCGACCCACGTCGTAAGGCTCCCTCAAAGCATGCGGACTCTCGTGGTAACTGTCGTCCAGATAAACTTGCGACACTGGCCGCGGGGGGTGAGCTGAGCCAGGTAGCGGTTGTTGGATGTATCTGGGAGAGGCATGTCGGATATACGTCTCGTCCACGGGTCTCCGCTCCTCAACACATACCCCGCCGGCGTACCGGCCGTCGCCAACAACCGTGGTACTCGCTGCCCGTTGCGGTGGCCCGCCGGGAGGCCCCCCAGGAGGCCCATATTCGCCAGCCATCGGGACACCCTGGTACGGCCGCGACCCATCAGCCAGAGGCTGCGTGTTGGCTACGGGGGCTGGGCCATTCTGAGCCACCACCTCAACCTCCTGTCTGTTGGCTTGTCTCTGGCGCTTGGTCGGTCGAAGGTAGTCGGGAGCATTGATGGGCGACGGCGAGCGAGGCTCCGGTTTTATATATGGAATAATGTCCTCGGGGGCTTGCCGATCTGCCTTTCTCTTCTTCTTCTTCTTGCTCTTCTTCTTGTCGGAACCCTTGCCGCTCTGAGGCGAGCTGTCAGGGCTGTTGACAGTGATGGGCTCGTTCCTCAGAGCAGCCACCTGGGCTGGTGCTCCTCTTGCAGCGGCAATGCCCTGATCTACCGCCCGTTCCAGCTGCTGCTCTACAGCATAGGTCGTGTACGGAGCAGGCTGGGGCGCAACTGGTATCATGTCATGAGTGCGTATAAGGGGGGAGGGGGGGTGGGTATCAAGAGAGGCGTTGCCCTGATGTTGGCCAGCAGCAGCAGCGGCAGCAGCGGCAGCTTTGTTTGCTGCGTAGCCGCCGTTACCAATGGGCTCGGCGTTGAACGAGGCTCTCGACTGGCTCTGTTCTGCACCAGTGCTCGGATGGCCTGCTTGAGCTTTGGCCGTGTTGTATCCGTTTGTGTAATTATTCAGGCCGGGCACTCGGAACAGCCCAGCATTATTCGACGGATCAGTAGAATCTGGTTGGGATTGAACCGTTTGTGTGGCAGAGACCGCGTCGTTGGCGTAGGGTTCACGGCCACGGAGATGATCTTGAACGGATTCCCTGGAACGGGGTACCGGTACCTGGCTGGACTGCAGACCGGGGATGGCCGACCGCCGAACCTCTTCGGGTGAGGGTTGGATTCGGGAGGCGGGACGTGATTCAGGAGTGGCATGCTTCGACGAGTAAAAGGTGTTGTCATCGAAGGAGTCACTAGCAGCTTCATCGTTAGTAGCCAAGCTGGCACTCGGGCCTGCCGGAGGCGTAGCAGCCGCCGGGACGAGCTCAAGCGCCTTGCCAAGAACTTCGGCAATATCATAGTCGACGAGGGCTTCCGCCCTCGACTGCTTGAGGCCGCGACGCTGCTCGAACTCGACTTTGAGGTCCCGCTCCAGCCTCTGCCTCTGCAACCGGAACTCAGCCTTGACCAGCTCAGCCGACTTTTCCAACAAGATGGGGTTGATCTCAGTGCTCCCAGAGCCGTATGACCTCTTAGCTTCCAACACATCAGGTGCACTCGCGGCGGACGGAACATCCGGTAACGACGTCTCGCGGGGTGCCGATTGGTGGCTGTGCTGCACACCGGCCTGCGGCTCGCACGGCGTCTGCGTAGCATCTCTCGAATGTGATGTCGACTGTGTCCGCGACACAGGGGCCACCCCCGGAGGAAGTTTAATCGTGGGATGAAGTCCTGCTAACACGGCATGTCGCAACTGTACAATGCGCTCATATTGACGGATATAACGGAGTTGCTCGTCAGGATTGGCGGCAGTCGCGTCAATCCCCGAGGCCTGCGCATGAACAAACTCGCCTTGCCCCATGGCAAACCTACGGTCAGCAACGGTTACTCGCTGCAATCCTCACGTGGCACTGGCCCCAATCGAATTCCAAGCTCAGGCACGGCGCAATAGGACCCTCCCCCCAAAAAGAAAGAGAACGGAAAAAACGCAAGCGATCGACGCGACGCGATAATAGCAGCTGGTCGACACGAACGGACGGTACGTGCAACAGCGCGCGACTCGTGACAAAAAAAATCGTTCTCGGGAAATAACTGGTGATGTCGGGCAGCTAGAAGGCAACTCAAGTGCGTAATGAAAGCAATGAACAATATTGCTGCTCCGTAGCACCACAGGTCATAAGATGATGTGTTGAGGAAAGACTGGACCGATCCCAATGTTCAAAATAACAAATAGACGAAACCTTGCGTCTATTTGGGCGGTGTGCGTGGCAGAATCCACCCAGATAATCTAGGGTAGACCTGATTAGTGCCTAGCCTGGATCACCGCCAAATGCCGGAAAGATATAGGTGATAATTTAATAGTCCCGGCAAACGAGATGCTTCTTCTGGTACTTTTTCTCCTTGCTGCTATGGTGCGATGAGTTACTAAGCAGTAATATATATAGTCCTTTTTACGAGAATCATCAAGATTGCTTTAATTAAAAAGGTTTTGGGTCTGGAATGTTGCCAAAGCTGAATGCAAGAAACTCGGCTGTTAATGCAGAGGAAGGAGCCTCGTACCAACTGCCAATACAGGTTGCAGATACATACGGATACTTGTATGCATATAATAAGTGATAATAGTGAAAGGATAGGCGTGGCGGTGGGGCGGGCCAACAGTGACCGCAGTAGCTTTGCTCCTCGGCCATGGCCGTTGGCTTCGACCACACTTGAACTTGAACATTATTCTTCGTTTCAGCAACTTCCTGTCTCTATTTCGACACCTTTTGATAGTATTGCTGTAGGTTCTGCGTAACCTGTCACCTACCGCATACAAGGCTCCGTCCAGCTGCTCGCCTGTGGTCTTCAAGCCTTCGTAATTGCCCGTCGCTTACTGCCTCGCGCATTGCCGACTACTAATACCTCAACCGGCGAGACTATTCCATCACTCGCCAATTATGGTCGCTACAGAGAATTCAGGACCTGCCAAGCCCGTCCTCTTCTTGTAAGTGTTACCTGGGGATTCCAGGAGGTGTCACGTAAGCTGACAAATCGCAGTGACATAGACAACTGCTTGTATCCCAGAAGTAAGAAGATTTTCTCCCTCGCAGCACTGCTAAGGCAGGTTGAGTGCTAACAGTTAGGATAGGCACCAAGGTCTTCAATCGCATGGCTGACCTCATCGATGAATACTTTGCCGCCCATATTGACCTTCCCAAGGAGGAGGCCGGCAGGCTGCACAAGGAGTACTTTGCCAACTACGGCCTGGCCATCGAGGGCCTCGTGCGCCACCACGGTGTTGATCCCCTCCATTACAATGCCAAGGTTGACGACGCTCTGCCTCTGGAGAGCATCATCAAGCCCAATCCGGAGCTCCGCAAGATGCTCGAGGATATTGACAGGAGCAAGGTGACTGTGTGGCTCCTCACCAACGCTTACGTCACCCACGGCAAGCGCGTCGTGCGTCTGCTCGGTATTGATGACCAGTTCCAGGGCCTCACGTACTGCGACTACTCCAACGTGCCCTTTGTTTGCAAGCCACACCCAGACATGTACAAGAAGGCCATGAAGGAGGCGGGCGTAGAGCGGTTTGAAGACTGCTACTTTGTTGGTACGCATTCCCCTAGTCTCCTTCGACTCCCGGGATCGGGGGCCTTCACTGACACCGAACGGATACAGACGATTCATACCAAAACTGCGTGCAGGCTAAGGAACTGGGCTGGAATACTGTCCATCTGGTGGAGGAGGAGCTCCCCGTTCCCGAGAAACCGGCGTCACAGTATCAGATTCGAAACATTTTGGAAATACGCACTATCTTCCCACAGTTCTTCAAGTCCGCCGCATAAGGGAAGGGCCTGGGGCGGGGAAGCTTGGCATGTCTAGACACATGCAGAAAGTCATAGAAAGAACACCAAGATATACTTAGAATAGACGGCATCTGCTAGAAAATTAAAACTATGATATATAACCGGCCGGATGAATCGACAATAATCTGCGCCGATCCAGGAAATCAGACCGCGACCAACTCCTCGCTATGCAAATGACGTAGACAGCAGCCCGGGAAGAATCGCAGTGCATGTTGCCAACAAAGAATATGACAACAGCAGCCTCACGGCCTCCGTATACTGCGAATGACGGTATCCAGCTCAGCCAGAATTTGATCCCTCTCCCTGAGGGCCTCCTGCCTCTGACTCTCGGCGGCCTTGAGATCGTCGTCGAGCTCCTTAATCAGACGCTCCTGGTCCTGTTCGCTATTCTGGAGGCCGGGAAGCATGGAAATGAGGTACTCGATCTGCTGTTCCTTGGTGATAATGTCGCGCGACAGTTCTATCATTCCTGCTCGGAATTCGTCGCTGGGTAACGGGTCGACTGTTTATTTGATTCAGTTGCGAAAGGGCAGAAGGTAGTCAGCAATCATGAGAGTGGTTGCTTTGCGGGTCGTGCGCAGCAGCAGCAGGTAGGAGCAGCAGCGGGGGCAACAGTGGTAGAAGCTACAGACCTTCTCGTTGTTCGGGTTCCTGCTTGACATCGCGGACCTTGTCGTTTGGTCCCAGGGTCTCGAGCTGGTGGCGCTTGTGGACGAAGTGAAGGGCTGCGACGAACTGCTGGGCAAGCTGTGTTTTTTGATGACGAGCCTGTTGTCAGCGAGCGCGCTGCGGTTGAGCTTTTGGGCGTGGGGGAGATGATGAGAATTCAAATTTTACCTGGTCTACAGCATCTTGGAGCTGAGTCAGTCGGTCGCCCATGATTGCGCGCGACAGATAGAGCTGGCTGGAAAGCGGGATGGACGAGAAGAACTGCGAGAGAAGAACAATGACGCTTTCTACTTTGTCTCTGATGTTGGTGGGTTGCACAGTGAGAATGCACAGTGAAGATGCCATCTTGTCAACTGTACGGCCGGCCTCTAGTCCAAGTGAACACCCTGTTGTTTAAGCTCTCCACACGAAGTTAAGCCCACTACCACCATCTTTTTTTTTCCTTTCTTGATTCGTTTATCTTCTGCTCTCCTCCTCTCTCTCCACGCATACTGAGAAGAGTCGACGAAGACAAAATATCCACTCTCCCCACCCCCCTTCTTTTTCCAACGTTATCGCGCGGCGTGGTACACAAGAGCAACGGAAAAAACAGATCAACCATGGCTACACCACCTCAAGGAGTCCCCCAGGGTCCCCCAGGACCAGGAGCTATCCCGATCCAGTTCCCGCCCGGACAACGACCTACACCCGAGCAGATCCAGGAGATCCAGCGCAGGATAGCCGAGGATGCGCAAAAGGCCGGCATGTCGGTCCCTCAGTTCGTCGAGCATATCAAGAGGCAGGCGCAGGAGAGGGCTATGGCCGCGCGCGCAGCCCAACAGCAGGGCGGCGGCACCCCCGGTGCTCCCACGCCACAGCAGCTCCAGCAGCTCCAGCAGCAGCAGATGGCTCAGAGGGCCGCTCAGCAGCAGCAGCAGCAGCAGTCCAGCAACGTGGCGGCTCCAGGACCTCCTAAGCCCGAAGCTCTGGCTGTGGCCAAGTTTCTGCGAAGCCAGGATCTCAAGCCGAGGACGTGCATCCTCAATGGAGAGCGCAAGGACATGTTCAAAGGTGGGCAGATACCCTCCCTAACCCTGGCAAGCAAGAATAAGAAAAAAGAAGAAGGAAAGAAGAGAGCGAGAAAAGGAAAGGGGGGGAATGGCTAACATTTTTGTGTGTGCGTGTGTGCTATGTGTGTGTGGAATAATAGTCAAACGTGCGCTCCGAGCTCTCGAATCCCCCGCCTACGAAAAGGCCCGCAAGAAAAACCCTCTGCTTCCGGAGATCAAGGATCGCGCCTCCCTGGAAAACACGTTCAAGCTCCTGCCGCTCGGCATGCTGGCCCTCCGCGTGAGTAAGATCGACCCCCAGGCCGCCGGCAACGGCAAGAAGCCGAAGCGCGTCAAGGGCCAGTGGACCGTCAAGATCGAGCAGCACCAGGAGGCAAAGGAAGACCTGTACTACGCCTGGTTCTGGGAGGGTAGCCAGATCAAGCGCCAGGTCTACGCCGCCCTGGCCCTTGTCGTCATCTTCGCCGTCGTCCTGTATCCGCTGTGGCCGCTCAAGCTCCGCCTCGGAGTCTACTACCTCAGCTGGGGCATGCTCGGCCTCCTCGGCCTCTTCTTCCTCATGGCCATCTTCCGCGTCATCCTCTTCTGCATCACCTACTTTATCGTCCCGCCCGGTCTTTGGCTCTACCCCAACCTCTGGGAGGATGTATCTTTCATGGACAGCTTTAGGCCCGTATGGGCTTGGCACGAGGTACAGTTTTATTTCATTTTTTTTATTTGCCGAGGTTGGGTTGGGTTGGGTTTCTCTGCCTAGGGACGCATGATCAGCAACCAGATAACAGATAACTGACTTCCACTGACATGTTTTTACAGACTGAAAAGCCCAAGAAAAAGAAGAAGGCCGGCAAGTCCGCTGCTCCCAGCTCTTCATTCACCGCCTCCACTGGTCATGTCGAGGCTACGGCTACCACGACGGGAACAGATACGCAGATCAAGTCTGATAATGTTCAGCAAAGGAGCTATGCGGCACCCAAGGTGGAGGAGGTGGTTGATGACGAGTAAAATCTTTATTTTATTGTTCTCCTTTTTCTGTCCTTTCTCTTTCTTCCTCTCTCTTCGGTGTATTTCTTTCTCCGTCTCTTCGTTCCTCTTCTTCATACTGCATCGTAGAAAAGGGGGATGGGATTGTAGCGCGTTGATGGTGGCGTTTGGTTGGGGATCCTCGGTGCTTGTTGATATCGCTGCAAGTGTTTTGGGCCGCTCTTTTTTATTTCTCATTCCATTGTATTCTCATCCTTTTCTTCTTCTCTCGTGGTACCCAAATCAAACTTGGCATATGGCAGCCCTCCTTGCTGGAGTATGACGTATGTATATACGTTTTGTGCATGTCTAGGACCTCTCACTACCCTCGGTACGCTCATAATACCAGATGGCATCCTTCGCCTCGGCGCATGTAGTACGGTAGCTATCCGTGACGGGGACGGGGACCGAACGCACGCGCTGGGGACTCCCATAGACATGATGGTAGTACCAGATCTCGTCGAGGACGGTGGCGCCGTCGTCATCGGACCCCCTCCCGGCCTCGGTCTCGTTATACTTGGGACCCGAGCAGCCGACGAAGGGGAGCTGGCCGAAGCCAGAGGTCAGGGCATCCTGTATGCTGGAGAGGGAGTAGGCTGTCCGGTTAGAGGGCTTGATGTCTGCAGCCGACAGCCATGTGAAGCTGGGGACCGTCTTGTAGAATGCAATGGTCGTCTCGAAGAAATCAAACATATCATCGAGCTTATGAGCTTTTGGTCCCTGTTTTTTTATAGAAAAAAAGGAAAAAAGGAGAGAAAAAATTCATGTCAACACACATCGTATGAAGTAATAAGATGGAGGGATAGAGTACAACATACGTAACACTCCTTTTGGAAAGAAGAGAAGCAAGTGGCATGCTTGGAATACTCGTGAGCCCACAGGATCCAGTTGGGCTGGTCCAGGGCGATCCAGTGGTCGTTCATCCAGGCGAGCAGGTCAGCCTTACCGTAGGGTCCGAACCACCGATCGATGGGCTCCCCCCTGTAAGGAGGGACGGGGATGCCGTCGGTCGTTCCCGTCGTCGTGTTGGGCGAGGGCTCCGGGTCGTACTGCCGCGACAGATCGCAGTACTGCGTGTACGAGCCGTTGCAGAAGTCGGGCCACAGACCGTGGATGGTCCAGTCGTCGCGGGGGAGAAGCTGACCCTTGGACTCGAGACCAGTGTATGTGTTCCAGAACTGGGTTTGGAGCTGTCGTTTTATTTTATTTTATATTATATTATTTATTTTCCATCAGTCATCATGCGCATCTCGTTTGTACGGAGTCGTATGTCAACTCACCAAAAGACCACCGTACGTCTCGACGCAGCAAGTATCGACTTGTCCCGGGTCGGCACCATCACTGCAGGACAGGATGGGATCAGCTATCTCGTCATCGTCAGTCTGACCCTTTCTCCTTCTCCCTCCTTCCCCATCGCTCGGACCCCTGTACAGGTTATCACATACACAGAACGCACGTGTGGTTAGCAGGCGAAATGCCAGGGTACAATCCAGCCGAAGCGATCTTGACCAGACCGGCCACGGAGATAAAGACACGAGCAGAAGGAGCCATTGCGTATGTGGTCTGTCTTCCTTCTCCTTCTTCTTCCTCTTCTTTGCGAGTGTCGATCAGTTGAATAAGAAGGTATCTTTTCCATTCATTCCTCTCGGAGAAAGAAAAAGAGCGCACCAAGGAGAAGCATAGAAAGAGAAGCGAGAAAGAAAAGAAGACAGCGGAGATGGCCGATATGATGTATAATATTAATACATGTAATCTGTAATCTGTATATATACGGTGATAGCTGATAGGGAAACGAACTCCCCTACAAACTGGCATAAGCACATGCCTCTTCTAGCAAGGTTGCTCCCCTCGATTGGCACCTGTGCGGATCCAACGACCTGGTTGGGTCCCCCGTATCTCTCAGTCTTCGATGCCAAGCATCCCAACTTGAATGTTTACCTTGGTTGTCCCACCACGAGATTAGCTTCATGCATGGCACACGCAAAGGTTCCGATTTGTTAGTAATGGAGGAGAGTTCTCGATTATGTTATATGGTGGAGTTCCGTGTTTCCAAACCATCAATCCAGCCAGCATTGACATGTTTTTACCTACCCTACTCTTCCTGGCTGACCATTGTCGGGAGATTGAGCTCACTTCACAGCCGTCTCCTTGGCATTCACACCTTGACAAACTTGAGAAATATATCGCCCTCGTTTTTTATTGTATACTGATATCGGTATGCGCTTGAGGTAGCATTGCTGTTTGTAGGTATCGCTAAGATGCGTGTCGACGAATGACTTGCTACATCCCCATATCCGGATACATGAGAAGAAGTATAGACATACCAGAACATAGTTCGCTTCATCCCTGGCATAGTGCGCCTCAAGCTCCTGCATCAACCTTCCTGCATAGCCATTCTTTCGCCACAGCTCATAAACGGGCAATAGAGTGATGCTGGCGCGCGGAACCGCCGTTCCATCCTCACTACTGTGTTCCACGATGAAGCCAATCACACTCTTCTCCTCACGCAGAGGAGCGTCGCCGTTCTTGGGCATAGAGGAACCGCCAAATGCTAACAACCAGTATGATCACCAGGCCCTTGTGTTCCTTACTGGCGCGTTGACCCCACCAGACCATCAGATTCGGATACTACGCAGGAGGAATGAATGCGGCAACTGTGTGGCCGCGGAGGATGCGCGTCTCGTGAAGTTCGGCTAGACGCGGTAGCAGGTACCGTTGCTCCTTTGATGATGGCCGTATGAGAACGACACTCCTATCCACGACGTCGGCCGCCCGGGAAATACTCGTGGTGTAGCCCGGGACAGTGGGCACGTCGTCTCTTGCGGGAGTGTATGTGCTAGGCCTGGGAGGATTGTTCATGGGCGGATGTTGGGGGGGAAGGGTACTGGAAGAGATGGTATGTGCTCGTCTGTAAGCTGTCGTATGAGAAGGAAAGGGAGAGAGAAGGCGACAGGTTGAAACGGAACTGTCTGTATTCAAGTCAGTACTGTTGTTCGATTCCATGTTCTGTCACGCATGGACGAAGGTGCATGACCATCTAGTCTAATAGGTAGGTTTCTGTCTCCATTTGCAATGCGCACAGCCTTGGGTTAGAGGGTTTGATCGTGACGTGACTTTCTGCGCGGTCTGGATGGTCATACATGGAGAGAGGGTGCCATGGTCATGGTCAGGTTGTGGGAATAGAGGGGGACGTTCATGTTGGTATTATATACGAAGAGGAAGGAGAAAAAGGACGCGAGGAAGAGGGGGGGCATTGAGGAGAGGGTTGCGTTGTTTGGAGTATATTTCTGTATATACTACTGCATATAGGCCTGCTATGTCGATCCCAGCAAGCGTCTGCTAGAATTGTATCACGACGAAGTCGAATAAAGAGCTCTAATATCATAATCGTGGCTCCATAGCATGCCCTCTTGAAAACCTGTCCATTGCTCTGTTTCATGAGAGGGGAGGGGGAATAAAGATCTACGTTTATCATACGTGCCAGAGACAAGGTAGTGCTAGAGCTTGCGATAGACACGGCCAATCTTTGTGCTGAGCGCCTAGTCAAACAACCGCCAATTGCCGGTGACTTGCCAGGGCTGATCGTGTTCTTTCTGATGTCACCCTTCTGTAGATGCCTCATCGGCCCTGACTTGAGGTCGAAGTCGTAGGCTCCAAAGCTGTCGAGCTGTGCTTCTGTAAGATGCGTTGGCAGGCCAGTGTCGACAAGGCACATGGGATCGTCGAGCGTGGAGCTGAGGCAGGGGATGTGGGCGTCGGTCTAGACGCCCTCGAGAACGATGCTCTTGAGGGGAGGCCAGCTTCTTGACGTCGGCCGCGATCATGGGAGCGGGCGGTTGTTATTTTTGGTACCGGCGCCCCTGTGCGGTGCTTCTAGCAGGTCGAAAATGTCGTCTGACTTGACGGTGCAGCCGTATCTCGAGCACCCCGCGGTATGTCGACGTCCCAGCCCTCACGGCTGCTCCCACGCTCCATAACATCGAGTTTCTGGACGAAACAGACGAGCGTGGAGGTAGACGGCCTGTCGTCGAGATCTTCGCCGCGCCGCGGGCTGTCCTGATCGAATCATTGCCGGGAGACGGTTTCCAAGGAGGCATTATTGACGCCACGCTGGTACACATCGGATGAAGCGATACGCATGCAATGCGATGCCGTTAGGCTCGGTGCGGGGATGTGGGACGACGACGGCCTACAGGTTGGCCCACACACTGGTGCCCTCCGAGTCGTTGGAGTTTTGGGCCACGACATCTCGGATCCAACGCAAGAGGTGCTGACTTTTGTCGGTGGCGATGTCGGGGACGTTGGGGTCCACTGATGGACACGAGAAAGTCGCCCTTCTGTTATTTCCGACCAGAAACCCCCCCCCCCCCCCAGAGGTTAATAGCCAAGTCACATGGCCAGTGTGAGGAAGAGGGTTGGGGTCAGTGCGGTGGTATTCAGCAGCTCGCCCTCCGCATACGACTACCCCGTACAGGTATGAATCAAAGACACTGCCGATCTCATCGCCATCCATACCCAGACACCTGTCCACAATGTCCCAGACCTCGCATAGAGCCGACATGACGCCGTGCTCGACGCCGTTGTGCATCACCTCGACAAAGCGTGACCGCCGCCTCCAGTGTCGATGTTGGCGACACAGGGACGGACGTTGTCATCTCCTGCCGTAATCTTAGTCAGGATGGGGTATATTCTAGTCGACAGTGGGCTCGTCGTCACCAGACATGAGGGGCACCATGGCGGGCGCCAAAGCTGGCCACCGAGATGCCGAGACCAATGTAGGAGGCTCCAAGGGGATGGAGCTTCTCCTGCCGGGGCTGGGTAATAACCATGTAGTCCTCGCCGGAGGCGTCGGCGGCAATGTCACCTTCGGTCACGTATTTCTGGAGCTCCCCAACGACGGCATCACCCGCATGGCCATTGGGGAGGCTGAAAATTGGGGAGGCTGAAAATGAAGAACCTGGGCTTACCAAGGCTGCGGCACAACGAGTCGTAGTCCCTGCACATGAGGATGCGGAACGCCAGGCCAGCCGCTTCGGCCGTATCTACCAGCCTCTCTAGGCTGACCTCCCAGGTGTCGCTGTTGGAGACATCTCATCCGTTCTCTGCAAATAAAAAGGCCCAGGGTCCCCTCCCATAGTGCCTACCCCTACAATGCCCACCTTGGAGCGGTCAGCAGCTGCGGTCACGGGAAGGCAGAAAGTTACAGGTAGAAGATGTAGAAGATTGCTTGATATGATACTCGTACGCGCGACTGCTCTCGTAAGGGTACCTGTAGGGGTCATTGTCCCCGTGCTAATAGCGCACGTAATATGCACGACAAGATGCGGGAGCAAACGAGCACGATGCGTATTACTACCCGTGATTGCAGCCTCCTTGGCCATGGTGGACCGCTTCTTCTTCTTCTTCTTCTTCTTCTTCTTCTCCTTCTCCGAATATCCGCAGAAACTAACCACTAGTGGCAGCATTGCAGCAGCGGAAACACCCGGCAATGCGATCCGTAATACAAAGCACCTATAGCCAGAAGAATGTTTATCCTGCAGCCTGTAGCCTGTAGCCTGTATGACATAATACGTCTTGTCTTGCAGGGGGCTGCCAACAGGCAACGCAAGTTACAAACAAGCTCAATTGCTTATTCTCTGTCCCGTCGCCTTTGGACGAATCCACGACGATGTCATAGCCATAAGGTTTGTTCGCAGACCTCACCCCCAGGTTCATCTCTGACGGGTGCCAGGTGCCAGGTGCTCGGTCGACCTGGTCATGGCTGCGCCTTTCCCCGCGCGGAGACTCCAGCTTGGTCGACCCCGACCCTCCCCATTGTTTTGTTGGAGGAGAAATGGCCGAGGTGGACGGTCGACCGATGCTTTGGGTGCCCATCAATTACTGCCCCATGGGAGAGCCGTGACATGACGTTGAAGATGACGGTCTGGGACAAGCGTCGGTGAAATAGGGGGAGAATGTTACTCGGTATTTGGCCGAGAAGTTCCACTGAATCTCCAAGGGGAGAGGGACAAGAAGTGGCCATAGGGCACAGAACGAAGAAAAAGAGGCGTGGCGAGCATTCCCTGCGTTGTGGACAGAGAAGGTGAGAACTCGTACGAGAAGAGGGCGACCCAGTCCCAGGCAGAGCCGCAACGGGTGCGGCTGGGCGTCGACCTCTGCTCCGATATGCGAGGTAAAATTTGGGCCAGTGACGACAAGCAGCAGCCAGTAGAATGGGGACGAAGTTGACTTGGGTGTACCAGTCTAGACTCTAGTTGGGACAGGCTGGTATCGATTTGTGGGGGCGTGCCCCGTGGTCTGTGGAGGTTTGGCTCAAATCGCAATGGCCGAAGTGAGGGCAGGGGATTGACCAGGATGTGACCCCAAGGACGAAGACCAGCCGATGCCCTCATTGGCGGTGGACTCTCAACCCGACCCCACACGACAGACGGGGAAGGTACGGGGTACGAAATGGGGAAAGCGCGTTGGGCGAATGGGGCTCCAGGCGACTGACAGACGGTTGACAGGCTAAACACAGGCTAACGCATAACCCCGAGCCCCAATGGGCCATGGCCCTTTGAGGGGATATGAGGAGGGGCCCCGGTGCACGGTCTCTCACTGTGGGCATATGCAGTCTGCAGATGCGCATTCTCTTGGCTATCATCAAATTCCTTGGTCACGCGAACAATGGGCTATACTCTATCGAGCACGAGCAGTAGTGATAGCTTCCGGAGTAAGTGAGGGGAACCGACAGGGGGAACCCTGAAGCGGAGGCCAACCATGGAGTACCGTGGAAGAGCAGGAAATTTTATCTGGGGTGAGCTCGGATTTTGGGGAACACCGTACTTGTATCGCACGCCGTCTGGGGCTAGCTTGGCGCGGCGGAGAAGGCACCATCCATCACGATAAATACCATTGCTCCTTCCCCGTACCCCAGATTTCTGGAGTTCCCCCTTCCTATTCCTCACTCCCCTCTCCCTCTATCCTCCTACTCCTCCTTGGTTTGCCTTTCCTGTCAGGCAGACGTGACCTCTTCTCCTCTCCTCCGTTGACCATTGACTTAGTCGGCTGGACGAGACGGCAAACATGGGTGACGACATCTCCAACCCGAGGGTTGTGGCCTTCAACAGCGAGAAGCCCACGACCGAGACCATGGACAATGTTCCTGCCACCACTGGCAGTGCCCAGGTCCGCGATCCGGAATGGCGCGCTCGCACCGAGAAGAGGCTGAAGCTCAAGCTGGATGCGCGCTGCTCGCTCTTCATCGTCATCTACATCATGAACTACCTGGACCGCAACAACATGGCCGCCGCCCGACTCAAGGGTCTACAGGCTGACCTGGACCTCTCAAACCAGCAATACGCCACCTGTCTCAGTATTCTCTACGTCGGATACATTCTCATGCAGGTTCCCTCCAACATGATCATCCACCGCATCCAGCGCCCCTCGCTCTACATCGCGGCCGTCATGCTCCTCTGGGGAATGGTCTCGACCTTGTCGGGTAACGCCCACAACTTCGCAGGAATGGTCGCCATCCGTTTCTTCCTTGGTTTCATAGAGGCTGCCTTCCTGCCCGGCGCCCTGCTGATCCAGTCCAAGTGGTACACGCGCCGTGAGCTCACCATGCGCAACGCCCTCCTCTTCTGCGGAAACCTCATTTCCAACGCCTTCTCGGCCCTAATCGGAGCCGGTGTCCTCTCCAACATGCAGGGCGTTCTCGGTCACGCTGCCTGGCGCTGGCTGTTCTGGAGTAAGCGATGCATTCCTCCCGGAAGTCTCCCAAAGTAGCCGAGCTGGTCACTAACACATGATTGACAGTTGAGGGTGCCATTACCATGTTCATCGCCATACTGGCTGTCTTCATCCTCCCCGACCTTCCCACCAACAGCCGTGGCTTCACCGCCGACGAGCTCGAGGTAGCCCAGCTTCGCATGACCGAGGACGTCGGTGAAGCCGATGTCGACGCCGAGGGCCAGTCGGCCTTTGCCGGTCTCTTCATGGCTGTCAGGGACCCCAAGATCTACGTCATGATGCTCACCTTTACCGCCTATGTCGTTGGCTTGTCTTTCAACGCCTTCTTCGTATGTCATATCCCAGCCCCCGCTTGATATGATGATAGCCAAGCAGAGAGATGCTAACTGTTCCTTCCTAACAGCCGACGCTTACTGGAACCCTGGGATTCAGCTATGTTCCCACCCTGCTCATGAGCGCCCCGCCGTGGGTGTTTTCGTGCATGATGTCGCTCGCGGTGTCCTGGAGCTCCGATCGTCGGCAGGAAAAGGTCAGCAGCCACCCATTACTATACCCCCCCTCTTTCTATCGGTACCATGTGGCTGACGGGATCTCTACAGTTCTGGCACATTGTCGGGCCCATTCTATTTGGTCTTGCGGGCTTCATCATCAGCATGTCGACACTGAACGTGGCCGCCCGCTACGTGGCCCTGTTCATGCAAGCTGGCTCTTATGCTGGGTATGTTCAACATGTCAAGCTCATGCCTACTTATCTTTCACATGCTAATCCTTCACCTTGCCATCCAGCTTCGTCGTCTTCTACTCGTGGATCAGTTCGTCGTTCCCCCGCCCTCCGGCTAAGCGTGCGGTGGCCATTGCCATGATCAACGCCTTTAGCCAGACGGGTAATGTGGCTGGCTCGTATGTTTGGGATCTGGACGAGAATGGCTTCCGCAAGAGTTACGGTATCGTGACGGCCATGTTTGGCGTGACGATTGCCGGCGCCTTCATCTTCCGTGGCATGTTGACTCGCCTGAACGACCAGCTCGCGCAGCAGGACAACCAGCCTGATGACATTCGGCCTGAAGACCAGCCGGACGAGTCGCTGAGGATGCAGAAGGGCTTCCGCTACCTCACATAAGGTGGCTAGCTAGCCATGCTGTTGCAGCCAACGACGGCCTACGATGCTGTTCGTCTGCGGGTGTATTGTTCTACTACCTTGACGCGTAACGCCAACTCTATCAAATATTTCCAATATATATACGTAAAAGACATATACAAACAAGAAGAAAATGCACTGATTGGAGATGGGTGCTCGTAGCCAAAAAAAAAAAATACAGTGATTGAGTAGTTGTCTAATCGAGTTTCAATTGTCTGAGGGTTGTACATACGTCACGGGTAGAACAACTACGTAGCCGTGCATTTATATATCGGCGTCGGGGTCATCCGGTGCCCCTCCCCTGGTCTGAAGTATTACAGTCTAATGGCGCACTCCGCGAATTCATGTACAACGCCATTACTCTCTGCCTGGTTTTGTATATTTGACACTGTAGCACATGTACACACGAGTGGTAGCATTGCGTCGAGCCGGACAGAAGAAGACTAGAGCACCGAGGCGGGGGGACTGATGCGCCAAGAAGGCGCGGCAATGGTGGGGCAGAAGGTTGATGTACGAATACGTGCGAAGTATTATGAGTACTCCCATGTTTGTACTGCTTGTGTACATAGACTATAACATAGCGGCACTCGTACTCGTTTTTGCCATGAGAGTACGGAGCACTTTTATATCTGAGCCTCGAGGTGGGGGAGCGGAGCGGAGCACGCTTTCTGTCGCTAGCCCATTATCCGCAAGAAGGGACAGAGAAGGAGGGAGAAGAAAAAAGAGCACTATTACTTAGTACAGTAGTAATACTACACGTAGTAAATACTCTATGCATGTGAATATTAGTATTGAGGCGTAGCCTGACAGTTGTGATTCCGGCCCAGCATCCTCTAATCTGTACCTTTCTTCGAAAGGGGGGGGGGGGGGGGTTTTTTTTTTTTTTTTTTTTTTTAAAAAAAAAGG